GATGTTGTCGTCATCTGCTTCTTCTACAACGATCCCTGGTGCATTCAAAAGGCAGCAAATGGGAAAATCAAAGAAAGGAAGTAGGATTCACCCTTCCACCAAGGTCACGACCTGCAAATCGCCCACTTCCACCAGCGTCTGTCAAGCAGAATGAAGCCAAACGCCGCTGTAAATGCAGAAGAGGGAGTAAGGGCACTCATCACGTATATAGATAGATAGATAGAGATATATAGATATATGTTTTTTTGGGCAGTACTGGGGTTTGAACTCGGTGCTAAGCAGACATGATACCACTTGAGCCACACCCCCAGCCCTTTCAGTTTTTTACTGTGGTAAATACACACAAAAATTATCATCTGAATTATTAAGTGTGCAGTTCACTTAACTATGCTATAGTGTTATAGATGCTTGTACCATGCATCTTCATAACCCTTTCCTTCCTCCTTCCTCCCCCCTTTCTCCTTCCTTCCTTCCTTCCCTCCCTCCCTTCCTCCATTTCTCCCTCTCTTCCTCCTCTCCCTCTCTTTTTCTCTCTTTCTTCTTCTTTTTGCAGTAGTGGGGTTTGAACTCAGACCTCACCCTCGCTAAGCTGGGGCTCTACACTTGAGCCCCCCCACCAGCCCTTCATAACTCTTTCCGCCTTCCACAGGTGAAGTTCAGTTCCCATTGCTCTGATTTGAATATCTTCCCCAAAGTCCACTTAACCCCTAATGCAACAATGAGCAGTGGGACCTCTAAGGGGTGATTCCGTCATGAGGGCTGTGCCCTTGTGAGTGGATTAGTGTGGTTCTCTCGGGAGCAGGTCGGGTATGGAGAGTGGTTGGTTGGAGCAGCGAGTGGGCATCTGATGTGCGCTCTCCCTCTGCCTCACACGTGATCTCATTCCCTTCTGCTTTCTGCTTGGGCTGATGCACAAGAAAGCCCTTGAACTTGACTTCCCAGCCCCCCAAACCGTAAGCGAGTAACCTCTTTCTCTTCTTCATAGATTTCATCAGGTATTCAGTTACAGCAGCACAAAACGGACCGAGGCCCATTAACTAATTCCTTGTTCCAACCTCCACCCCGGCCCGGCTCCACACTCTGCTCTCCGTCTGTGAGTTTGACACCTTAACCCCTGATCTAAGTAGAAGAAGACATATTTGGGACACTAGCATTTCTAATCTGCCAGGTGATGAAATCAGCAAGATGACATGTAGGCAACAGAGGAGCCAGGTTTCATTCACTGTCACCATCACAGTCAGTTAATCCAATATCCAGAGAACATTTATTGAGCCCCTGCTGTATGCATCGGGGGAAACAACAGCGAAGGGGATGGAAACAGGAAGGTCCCTGTTCTCATGGGGTTTCCTTCTAGAGGAAATGACAGAGTAAACGGGGACACAGAAATTTGAGACTTTCAGGTATGACAATACCAGGGAGAAAGTGAAACGGTTCTGGGAGCCGCTGAGAGTGTAGCATTTGAGCCGAGGCCAGGAGGATGCTAGGGTCAGTTATGCAGAAACCTCGAGGAAAAAGATCTTTGTCCGTCTTCTGCTGCTGTAACCACAGACTGTGTGACTTGTAAACAGAAGTGGATTTGGCTCACGGTTCTGGAGGTGCGGGAGTTCAAGACCACGGCGTTGGCATCTGGCCTGGGCCTGGTGCTGCACCATGACGTGGCAGAAGGACAGACTGTCATATGCAAGACACACTGAGAAAACTGGGCAAATTATTATTATTAATTTTTTTTTGGCAGTTTGGGGGTTGAACTCAGGGCCTGCACTTGCACTTACTGGGCAGGTTCTCTACCACTTGAGCCCTTTTTTAGCTGTAGTTATTTTTCAGACAGGGTCTCAGATTTTTGCCCAGGGCCAACCTCAGACTATGATCCTCCTCTCTACACCTCCCTCATAGCTGGGATTACAGGCACACACTACCATCCCCGGCCTAAGGTCTCAGCTCTTAATTTTCTTACAATGGCAACCTGAGTTTAGAAAGGGACATTCAAACCATCGCATAGGAAGAACAATAAGCACAAAGGCCCTCAATTGAGAATGAACTTGACTTATTCAACAAACAGCAAGGAGGTCAGCATAGTAGGAAGATTAGTGAGGACTGTAGTTGAGGGGCACAGGTAGGAGGGAAGGAGATATCTTTGCAGAGTCTACACATTTTTCTTTTTGAGGCAGGGTCTTACTATGTAGCCCAGGTTGGCCTCGAACTCAAGATCCTCCTGCCAACTATCTCCCAAGTTCTGGGATTACAGGTGTGCACCACTGTACCCGGCTTTACCCTACAAATCTTTATGGGAGCACATACTTTTATTTCTGTTGGTTAAATAGTAGTGGAATCACTGGATCACAGAATAGGTGAATTTTTAACTTTATAGGAAACAGCCAGATGGTTTTCCAAAGTGCTGTTGTTCCATTTTACCTTCCCTCTGGCAGTGCTCCACGTCTCTGCTGACACCCGCTAGCGTCAGTCTTTTTAATTTCAGGCATCCTAGCGGCACCCGGTGGTGTTTCACTGTGGCTTTCGTCAGTATTTCCCTAATGACTAACGGTGGTCGGTACTTTTCCTCATGCTATTAGTGCCCATTAGTGTCCCTGCTTTTGTGAGCGTTTCCTCCAAAATCTTTTGACCATTTTAAAAATTAGGTTACTCACCAGTTTCCATTTTATTTTATTTCTTGCAGTTTTGGGGACGGAACCCAGGGCCTCACACGTGTTAGGCCAGCGCTCTACCACTGAGTGACACCCCCAGCCCCATTTGTCTGAGTTTTAACAAGCTTCTTCAGGCTGTAGCAGGGAGGACAGGTCACAGCTTCCACAAAGGCCAGCTGGCCACAGGCCACAGACAGCCTGGTTTCGGGGAAAGTCAGCTTTGCAGGTGGCCGGGGAGGTTGGGCCACTTCACAGGTCTGTGGAGGCTTCAGTCCCACTTCCTGCAGCTCGGCACCTTCCGGGGCAGAGCCCCGTCTGGGGATCCTGGCACTCCGTATTCTTCCTCTACCCAAAGGGGACCTGGATGCCTCTGCCTAGTAAGCATGAGGCCCTGAGTTCAAATCCCAATACCACCAAAGGGGAAAAAAATATGTCACTTCTGGTTGGCAAAAAAATCCATTAGCTCATGTCCCCCAAATGTCTGCTAACATCGTCTTCCCATCCCTTCTCTTGGAGCCCCTTGAGCCTCCCACATTTCAGCAACTAAAGTGGGGGGGATCCAGGACCCCAACCTTGCCCTATGGCCACATTTGTTCTGGTTGGATGGTGCCTGGTGTCCTGGCTGCTGTTGGATTGTGTGTCTTCTGGGGTCAGCTGGGCCTGGTTGGATTTGGAGGAGAGGGAGGCTGAAGCCAAGGGGAGCCCAGAGAAGGGCGCACTCGGCACAGTGGTGATCATTAACGTTTCATGACTGGGCACCTGTGCAGGCACAGTTCTGATCAGTCACCGAATCCCCCCAGCCCACTGGGCCATGGCAGCAGCCTCGTGTCCTGCTCCCATCCAGGGCCCCACAGCCTGCCCCCACCCCCAAGATCCAGGTCAGGTCCTGGTCCCCCCGGCTCAGAGCCCTGAGCTCACTGCTGGGTCCCAGGAGAGGCCTGCAGTGTCTGTCCCCTCCACCCCAACAGGGGTGTTGAGGGTTCTTTAGGGACAGAACACAGCCAGGCCCAAGGTCATGGTGACCATAAGTTGCCAGTGCTGTCTCCTGCAGATTCCAGAGCCCTCCCCACCCCCGCGGGCACCCTGCATCTGCCACCCCGTGACCAGCAGTCAGCTTCCCCTTTTCTCTCCTGAGCCCAGGCCCTAGAAGCCTTCTGTGATGGGTGGATGGGGGAGGGGGCTTCCTGCAGCTGGCTCATTCCCCCCACCCCCTAACCCCCACGCACCCTGACCTCAGGTTCCTTCTTCTCCAGCCCCAGCCTCAGCTGGCCCTTGGGGCGAGAAGTCCCTGTCTCCTTTGGGTGGCCCCTCTGTCCTTGCTCCCAGCTGCTTCCTCATTCGGCAGGGCGGCCCCACCCTGTCCAGTGGTTCCCTCAATGCCACCCCACCGGCCTCACTTCAAGCCCCAATCCTGTCTCTGTGGTGTGAGCAACTAAGACATTTGTTATGCTTTTTCTCCTCCATCTTTCATCTTTCTTTCTAAGAATTCACATATATGTCTTTAGGACCTGGGTTCCATTTCTACCCTTATTTGCTGTGTGACCTTGGGCAAGTGTCTTTACCTCTCTGATAAATGAGAATAAGAGCATCTATCTCATAAGAAAGTTGTGGGGCTTACATGACTTAATATCTGTAACCGAGTAACTGTGTACTTTAGCATCCATACAAGGACGGTCCCCTCTTAATATCCTATGGCCATCACCAGGGTCTGATTATAAAATAACAACAATTGTAGAGAAAAGTAACAATTTAAAAGTTGACAAGTATCAACTAGAACTTTTTTCTAGGTGCATTAATTCATTTACTCCCCATAGGAACCCTATAAAACAGGAAGTATTTTATTCTCAATCATTTATCTTTAGTAGTGTTTGGGGGAATTGACCAGGCAGGCATTCTACCGCTTGAGCTATGCCCCCAACCCTTTTTGCTTTACTTATTGTTCAGATAGGGTCTCAGTGCTTTTGCCTGGGTCAGCCTAGGTCTGTGACTTTCCTACCTCTAACACCCATGTAGCTGGGATTACAGATATATACCACCATACCCGGCCTTTTACACCCGATCTTACAGATGAAAAAATAGAGGACCAGAGAGGCTGTGTGAGCTGCTTAAAGTTGCCCAGTCAAGAAGAAGCAGGACTGTCTTCAAACCTAGTCACCCACTGACCGTTCTATTACAATGACATCTGACCCCTGACTGGGACTAGAGGTCAGGATCTGACTCATGTACCCTGTGCCCTTCACATCCAGTCATTAGGGAACGTGGCATGGCCCCTGGGCCTGATTCTTTTTGGCACTGTGTCTGTCTATCCTTCCTCCTCCCCTGCTGTCCCCTCCTCCTCCTGCCACCACCCAGCTCAGACTTCCTCCTTCTCTTGGTTGGACGCCGTATCACATCCTACTGGCCCCTGGCCTGTGGTGTCCAGCAGTGTCCGGACATCATGGGGACCCCGGAGCCCTCCTGGCAGCTTCTTCTTCCTCTCCTTCTGACTGTGGGTGGTGAGTTGGGGGCTTCTGCTGCTGCCACCTGAGTCCCTGGGCCCAGTCAGGGGTGGGACAGGGAGCAGGGTGACAGCAGAGAACCAAATGGGAAGGATGGACAGAGTGGATCTCCCCTAGCCTGTGGTTGTCTCCTGAGCTGGAGTCCCCAAGACACGGCTCCGGGGAGAAGCAGGGGGAGGGGACGTCAAAAGGTGTCACAATTAGACAAGCTGGCACAGAAGTCACACACCAACCGACAGCCTCTGTGCCAGTCCTCCAGGTCCTGCCAGACATTGCTTTTCACCTTCCAGGCTTCTATACTCATCTGCAGTCATAGCTCCATGCCTCAGTTTACCTCTTTTTCCCTCCCCAGGTCTCAGCCCTGTCCAGGCCCAGAGCGGTAGGTGCAGGCCCTGCAATCCCTCTCCCTACCCCCTAAAGACCTCCCCATCCCATCCTTCCGCCTTCCCTTCCGAACCCCCCTGCTCACCCCGACCCCCAGTTTCCAGCCTGGCCTCCCCTGTCCCCTGTGCTACATTCCCAGAATGCAACTGCTCCCCGGTGAGCCCCGGTGTGCTGGCGGGCATCGTGTTGGGGGACCTGGTGCTAACACTGCTCATTGCCCTGGCCGTGTACTCGCTGGGTCGGCTGGTCCCGCGGGGGCGAGGGACTGTGGAGGGTGAGTGGAGCTGGCAGGGCTGGCCTGGTGGCCGGGATGGTGGGTAAGCCTTGCCCACCTTTGCATCCTCTGTCACCCCTTCCCCCCAACCCAGGGCCACGAAAGCAGCACATTACTGAGACCGAGTCACCTTACCAGGTAGGAAGACCAGACTCTTCCTCACCCCTCACCCCTGCTCTCTCCCCTCCCAGCCACACCCGTGCTCTCCCCCAGCAGCTGAAAGCCCCTTCCCCAGCAGGCCCCCAAGCCTTGAAGGCAAAGGGGACATCTGTCCAAAACCACGTCTCCTGGTCAGCCACCATTTTAAGCTTAGCTCAAAATATGTGGGGAGGAAATACAGGGGTGACAAGAACAGGCCTGGAGTCACTCTGGGTAAAGCCAGACCTGGGACAAGCTGAATGCTGGGAGAAGCCAGAGGACAGACTTGAATCCTAGTTTGGTGACTGTAAAGAGAGGAGACCCAGAGTTTTGGGGGATGGACAAAACCCCAAACCCTGACAAAAGCTGTAGACTCCTCAGAAAACTCCACGCAAGAAACACAAAGTTGTAATCTCAGTACTTGGGAGGCAGAGGCAGGAGGATGGTGAGTTCGAGGCCAGCCTGGGCTACATGGTGAGACTCTGTCTTAACCAAATAAAATAATGAAATAAAATAACAAGTCGTGAGTGTAAGTTAGGGGCGGTTGACATTCCTCTTCAAAACAGAGATGAAGACAGCTCTCACTTCTCTGCCATGTTTCCTTCTTGACCCTTCGAGGGTCACAGATACCGCGAACCCCTCCCTAGAGAAATGTACCCTAGACTGGTCACTTGAGGGGGTTTCGGAGAATTCCTGAGACCTGCCCTGTGCAGCTGAGACCCTTACAGCAAACCTGCTCTGTGAAGTCTAACTGCTGGTCTGCTTCCCCGTGGGTAAAAAGTTTCTTTTTTGTGGTGCCAGGGCTTGAACTCAGGGCCTTCACCTTGAGCCACTCCATCAGCCCTTTTTGTTTAGGTTTTTTCGAGATAGGGTCTTGTGAACTATTTGCCTGGGCTGGCATTGAACTATGATCCTCCTGCACTCGGCCTCTTGAGTAGCCAGGATTACAGGCGTGAGCCACCAGCGCTTGACTAGGTTTCTTTGCAAATCTAAGAATCCCGAGTTTGGCTCTGTGAGGTCCGGAGACCTGATACTAAGAGCAGTGACATTTTGCGGTAAATGTCACTCCAATTCATCCCTTCCTTCAGTGGGGTTGTTGAGTACCTCTATGTGCCCCATGCTGGGGACACTGTGGTGGACTTTCCAACTTGGAGACCCATGCTGAAAGCTAATTAACAAAACCATCTGGGAGGCACCATGAAGGAAATAAAGCAGGCTGATGTAGTCTGGCATGGTGGCACATGCCTGTAGTCCCCAGCTACTCAGGAGACAGAAGCAGGAGGATGGTGAGTTCCAGACCAGTCCCAACAAAGTTATCGAATCCTTGTCTCCAAAACAAAATACAGACAAAAGGGCTGGGGGGTGGGGTGTGTGTGGCTCAAGTAGTAGAGTGCTTGTCTAGCACAAAAAGAGGCCCTTGTTCAATCTCCAGTACAAAAAAAAAAAAAAGAAAAGAAAAAAACAAGGAAAGGAAAAGGGTGTGGGGTAAGAAATTATAGGTGAAAAAATTGGGAAATAGCCCTCTGAGGATGTGAAATGAGCTGAGACTTGAAGGGAGAAGGAGGCTGGAGATCGAGGGGACTGATATTCCAAGCATGGAGGGGGGGCACTGGGGACACACAGAATGCACTTGAATAACGTTCAGATCTCTTGCATGGCTCTAAGTTTGAAGAATCCGTGGAGGGACTTGAAGACCACTAGAGGGCTGGATTTTGTACTTGATCTTAGCCAAAAGACTGAGAAGCAATTGGAGGCTTGGATTTTTAAGTTTCTTTGCTCCTTCCACTGATAACCTCTATTCCTTCAGGAGCTCCAGGGTCAGAGACCAGATGTCTACAGCGACCTCAAGATACAGAGGCAGTATTACAAATGAGCCCAAACCACGACAATGAGCAACCTGATGTCTGGATCCAGCCATTCCTGATGCCCACCCAGTATATCATTTCTAGTCCTACTAGGACACACATTCACAGAGTGCCCTCCCTGAGCTATCAGACCTCTCCCTACCATTGTCCCCAAATAAACAATGGAGCACAAAAACATTGTTGAGTTACTCCAGATTTCTGGGCTGAGGAATTGGGGATATGGATTTCTGGGTGTGTGTCAGGGGGGTGGACCCAGAAACAGTTAAGTGGGAGGGAGGCTTTGGGAATATGGAGTTTCTTTGAAGAAGAATAAAATTAGAGGTGTTTGAATTGCTTTATTCTAATCTCAAAGGGGTGTGTGTGACCACCACACACAATCCAGGATGCGTGGGTTAGAAGTTGAAAGTTGAAGTTTGAGGTCAGTTCCATCCAGGCATATTGATGTAGACTGTACCATCATCTGGGGATGGGGGTGGGGGAGACAGGCATGAAGCCTGACCACCCACTACCCGCCCCCATCTCCACCTTCCTGGGGACCCCCTACTTCAGGGGCTTCCTCTGGGGTTCCCCAGGCACCTCCCCCAGGGCTTCCCCAGCCCCTCCTCCAGGGCTTCCCCCGGGATCCCCCTCCATGGGACCCCTTCCCTAGGGACACCACCCACCCTCCTGGCCCCACTTGTCCCAGCCCTCACCTTGGGCTGGCCGACAGGATGAGCGAGCACATGCAAACACCACCCCCACGATTACCAGTGACATGACCGCATCTGCCACCACTAGGCCTGCCAGAAGCGGCAGGGACAGGGGCCCACATCCGGAACAGGAGCCTGGAGGGGGGGCCCAGACCAGCTGCAGCTGAGGGGGGAGTGTCTTTGCTTCCAGGGGCTGGGGCTGTGCTTTGACCACAGGGAAAAGGGGGATTCCTGTGGGAGGAGGGCAGGGTGGAACACCCATTCCCTGGGGTTGGTAAATGGAAATCTAGAGGCTGGGCTGTCACAGGCCCCCGGGGCTGGGCACTGGACGCAGGGCACAGGGGATACTGCTAGAGAAGTCAAGGGTCACTGGTTCCCTGGGGGTTTGATCTGGTGATGAGGAGGGCAGGACAGGACCTAGAGAGCATTGCAGATCCCCTGGGCTCTGATTTGGGGGTAGCCATGACATGCAGAGCTCGGGGGGAGGGGTCTAGGACCCTCAGGCCAAGCTCTAGGGATAGAAGTGGTACCTGAAGTGCCAAGGCCACTGGCCTCCCAGTTGTCTCTCACCTGGGGACATCTGAGCAGCAGCCACTGTGGAAAGGCAGAAGGTGAGCAGAGTGGGAGGTGATCCCCAAGCAGGCTGCAGGGGACAGTAAACTCCACTCTGGAGAAATGGAATTTGAAGGGGAGATCCCAGGGACACAGAGAGGGACAGAAAATGGGAAGGAGAGGTTAGAGACCCAGCAAGAAGGAGGGGAGACAGCTCCACAACTCCTCACCCCCACCCCAAGGCCCCAGGCACTGATACCCAATAGATTTCTAGGAAGGGAAGGCCCACAGAGAGAAGAACCCGCTCTCAACACCCCTGCCTTCATGTTGCAAGTACCCAGCCTGCCACCCCCACACTGCTGTCTTCACCTGGAAACAAAAGCAGGATCAGCATGTGGTCAGGAGTGGTCATGGTAGACTGGGGCTCCAAGGGGTCCATCCAAAGACTGAGAAGTCCTCAGAAACAGTGAGGGAATAAGATGGCAATAACGGATGTCGGCTTGCTTGTGGCAAGGCCACCTACTTCCTGTGTATGTGGGTGTCCTTGTGACTGTCTTTGGTGAACAAACGGGGAGGGGGGTGGTCAGAGAGCCCAAGAATGCTGATATGATTGTCCAGGTGGGAGCGACAGGTGGAACAGGGTGAGAGCACTAGGAAGATTCTGGAAATATTTTGGAGGTAGAGCCAACAGCATTTGCTGATGGAGTGAATTTGGGTGGTTTGAGACAGGAATCCCCAGGGAGTACAGCGTCCAGCTGGAGCAACTGGAACAATGGAGAGTGGATTGACAGAATTGGGAGAAGCTGGCTTGGGGGTAGTGCCGGGGTTCTGGCCCCTTGTGGTGGAGATGCTGGCTGCATTTATGAATTCAGGAGATGTCTGGCCTGGAGATGGAAATCTGGGGTCTGATGACTTATGGATGGTATTTAAAGCCACAAGACTGGGTGACGTCAGCAAGGAAGTGTGCATGGACAGAGTACAACCCTCTTCACACACACTCACTCATACACAGCATGGGAGAAGAGGAGAAACCAGCCAGGGAGACTTAGGAGGAACCAGGGAGGGAGGAGACCCAGGAAAACGATTCTTGAAAGCCATGGGGAGATTTGGTCAGCAGTGGGAACTGGGAACGGCTTCCCCCTGGAGTATTGGTGGCCTCAGGGCTGGGAATTCCTGCCTGTTTAGCCAGCACCAATGGGTTATTTTATTTTTATTGATTTGTGTGTGTGTGTGTGTGGTTTTGGGGCTTGAACTCAGGGCCTACACCTTGAGCCACTCCACCAGTCCGCTTTTGTGATTTTTTTTTTTTTTTTTCCGAGAAAGGCTCTCACGAACTATTTGCCTGGACTGTCTTCGAACCGTGATCCTTCTGATCTCTGCCTCCTGAGTAGCTAGGATTACAGGTGTGAGTCACTGGTGCCCGGCCCAATGAGTTATTTAAATAAGTGAGTGAGTGAAACTTAGCAGTGAAAAAGGAGGCCATGTGGGAAAGCAGGAGAGATTTGGGCCCACCTAAATCACCCTCCTTTGAAGCCGGAGAGACCAGACCCCGTCCCCACCTCCTCCAGGACCCAGGAATACTGCTTACCACTCCTAGCCAGGGCCCAGCCGTCGAGCCCCCTCTAGCACTCCCTAGGACAGAGACTCACAAGTCCAGGCTCGCATTGCGGGTCTCTTCCCAGAAACCCAGACCCCAAAGACCGGGACCCCCAGTTCTCTCTTTCTGGGGAGACTCAGAGGTTGGACTCTCCAAATCAGCCCCGCCCATTCAGAGACCGAGATTGCTGGAGCGCGACGCGGGGACTCCCAGGCCTGTGGGCGGGACTCTGCCCAAGACGGGGCGGTGCCAGAACCCCAATTTAAAAACTCGCGGGGGACAGGGCTGGAGATCGGGGACCCGGCGGCGGCTCCGCGGGGAGACAGCGAGGCTGGCGCAGCGCCGAGGCCGCGGCCCTGGGGGCCCGCAATCCGCGCCACGAAACCCCCGAGGTAACGCATGGAGAAAGTGAGGCACGATCCGCGCTTTTGGTGATCGGCTGGGGTGGGGTTTTTGGGGTCCCCGAGGGACAGAGCTGGAGCATCGCGCTGGGTTCTGAGAGTGAGGGCACCCGGGGTTTGCAGGGCGCGACTGCCATCAGATCGGGACGTAGGATCGACTGGGACTCTGGATTCCAAGGTCCTTGGGGACAGGGCATCGGGAATCCGGGGTTCCGAGGGTGCAAGGGGTGTGAGTCCGGACCCCTGGGTCAAGTGGGAGGAGGCGGCTGGAGACCACGACTCCATTTGGAAGTAGAGGCTGGACAGCGCCCTTGGGGGCGGGATGGCTTAAATTCTCCAGTTCGGTCCGGAAGGTCCGGCGCCTGACCGTGACCTTGGTCCACGCTGGCCGTGACCCCGACCCCGCCCCGGGATTTCCCAGATCGCCACGCATCCGTTGTCCCTGGGCAGAGCAGGAATTCCCCGCGTGCGGGGACTCCGCGAGCGCCACGCTCCGCCGCGCGCCCCGCCCGTGAGCAGGACACCTGCGGCGCGGGCCTGGGAGGGGAAGCGGGACATGGAAGATTCCCTTGCGTGAGCGCCATGACGTTAGCGCGCCGGGTCTGGCCGTGACGTCAGCGCGTCGAGTGAGCCCATGTCAGGATTAACCCTCCCTTGGCCGGGACCCCAGCTCCAGTGGCTGCGGTCTGAGGATCTGTCTGTCCCGGGTCGTGGGAAAGAGGAGTCTGGGACCCCGGGGCTTCCAGGTCCTAGAGAGGAGCGGGCTCGGCCCGGCCTCCTTGGGGTCCTGGGGTAGAGGACACCGGGCTCCGGGACCACTGTGGCTGCCAGATGGGGGCCTGGGCTCGAGTCTGGAGGGATGGGGTCGGGGCTTGGACCTCTGGATGCCTGATGAGCTGAGGGTTGGGACTTGACTCCTGGCTCCCCAGGGAAAGAAGCAGAGGTCAGCTTTTAGATCAGGGAGATATTGGGGACCTCCAGGGAGTGGCGCCTGGCGACCCCTCCCAAGCCTCTCCCTGGCCTCAGGACTGGGAGCTCAGGGGTGAGATTTCTTTTAATGAAGTGGAGGGGATGCTGCGGAGAGGCGCTCCCCTCCCCCTTCCTCCGTTTCCACCACGCTGGCGGAAAGTTGGGTAGAGGAAAAGTGCGGAGCAAAGGGAAGGAAACAGCGGGGGCGGGCCCTGCGCTCACCATCTATGGGCTTTGGAGTGCTCAGGCGGCATCAATGTGCCAGTTTTTCCGCGCGGGAGGGCACGAAGGGCGCCCACATCCCCCCTCCCCTGTCCCAGGTGCATTTGAGTGACTTCAGGACCCGGATGACTTCCTTCTCTCCTCCCCCACACAGTGAGTCGGAGTGAGCGAGGCCACTGCCCAACCCAGACCGTGAAGAAGCTGCTGGAGGAACAGAGACGGCGCCAGCAGCAGCCTGACGCTGGTGGGGTACCGGTGAGGCTCGGGAAGCCCTGTAAACGACAACTGCCCTGAAGCCATGCGTCCTCCAGCAAGGACTTAGTGGCTTGCTGAGTTCAGCGCTCATCAGAGCTGTTGTCCTGACCCTGGTGCGGGATAGGTGGGGAACAGGTACTCGAGGAATCTGCCAGGTACCTTCAGTCACCTTTGTTCCTTTCTGCTTTGCCTGCAGGGACACTTCTCCCCTCCCCTGGCCCAGCCCCTGACCCCGGCTGTGAATGAGGCTCAGGCTGGTAAGTCCTGGAAACTCCTGCTTCCCTCAGCCACTCAGAAATCCCAACTCTCCAGGCTTTGCGGGGGGCCTAGGGGTCGGGTCCCCATTGGTGCTGGAACTCAGTAGAAGTTTGATCTCTGTCCTCTGGAATCCAGTCATCTATGCACATAGGACTTCAGGGGCCCTGGCTCCCATACTTTTGGGGTCCCAAGAGCCCAGTTGCTTGGTGTACCAGAAGTCTAGGCTTCCAAGCCCTTGATATCCCAGGGTTCTAGGCCCCAGTCTCCAGAGTCCTAGCTCTCAGCACCTTGGGAACCTCAGCCCCTCCAGCCCTGGCTGTGAGCCCCCCCGCTGTGGCACTCAAGCGGGCCTGCTTCTCCTCTCCCACACAGGCCACACTCACTTCCCTGCCCCCCAGGAGACGGTAGGCTCTGAACTCGGCAACCTGGCTCCCCCCGCGGGCTTTCCAGACTGGGACCCCATCACGCATGGCGCCTATACAGACAGTCCCTGCTCTTACCCTGCTTCTGCTGCAGAAGGGTTCCTGACTCCTGACTTCTGCCCACCCTCGGACCCAGGGTGGCCAGGCTCATTTTCCCTGGGGATGGAGGTGAGAGACAGCAGGGCAGGAAGCTATTCAGGAGGCAGAGATCAGGATGATTGAAGTCAGCAAATGGTTCTCAAGACCCTATCTCAAAAAAAAAAAAACCCATCACAAAAAAGGGCTGTTGGAGTGGCTCAAGATATAGGCCCTGAGTTCGAGCCCCAGTACTATAAAACAAAAAAATCCCAGTGGTCCTCATGCATTATTCTGAGGTGTGAGGGGCTGGGCTTGGCTTCCATACTCCAGATGGGTAAAACTGAGGCCCAGAGCACCACTTGGCCTTAGGTTCGGGGTATGTGGACGGGTGTGTGTGGTGGGCTGGAAGGGGATTCTCAGCTGAGTGACTCTACCATCTGCTCCCTTCAGGACCCCCTGGATACTCGGCTCTACGCAGAGCCTTCTGGGCCACAGACAGGATCCTGGAGAGTTTCTGGGCTCCCCTCAGGACCACCACAGCTGCCTCCACCCACTGGCCCATCCCTGGACACAGCCCGAGCTCACATGCTGGCCTTAGGACCACAGCAGCTGCTGGCCCAGGATGAGGAGGGAGACACGTGAGTGTACAGAGGAGATGGGGTGTGCTGCAGACTCCCAGCTCAGCCAGGGGGCTCGGCTCACTGTTGCCCACCACCTGTCCGCAGGCTCCTGCACCTGTTTGCAGCTCGGGGGTTGCGCTGGGCTGCCTACGCTGCGGCAGAGATGCTTCAGGTGTACACACACCTAGACATTCGTGAACACAAGGGCAAGGTGAGGGCTGGGGGCCCAGACGGCCAGAGAAGAGGGCAGTGGGAGCCGAAACTCCTGGGACCAAGGCTCCTGAGTGGGCCAGGGGAAGCAGGGGGCCTTGCAGGCTGACTGTTCCTGTGACTGCAGACGCCTCTCCTGGTGGCTGCAGCTGCCAACCAGCCCCTGATTGTGGAGGACCTGCTGAATCTGGGAGCTGGGCCCAATGCCACCGACCATCAGGGCCGTTCTGTCTTGCATGTTGCTGCCACCTATGGACTCCCAGGAGTCCTTTCGGTATGACCAGGGGACAGGTTGGCGGTCTGGGGTGGACCAGTTGCCCCGATCCTGTCTTCCAGGGCTACAAGGTCCAGGGATACCTCTCATCACTCTCTTCTCCTCCCAGGCGGTGTTTAAGACAGGTGTTCAGGTCGACCTGGAAGCCAGAGACTTTGAGGGTAAGCTGGGCAGGCAGGGTGGTGTGGCAAGCAGGCTGGGAGGGGTGGGCGCCCCAGGTACAAATCAGTCCCTCACCGTCTCCCCTCTGCAGGCCTCACTCCCCTTCACACAGCCGTCCTGGCCCTCACCACTGCCATGTGCTCACCCGGCTTCTGTCCTCGGGTGCTGAGTGCCCAAGCCCGAGACAGGCTGTCTTGTGTTCAGATGCTGCTGCACGTAGGTGCCGATCATACCAGCCAGGTGAGCTGGGCTGGGAGTGCCTGGCCCAGAGGAGGGTGTGGGAGACAGAGCCACCTGGGTATCCAGGGGCATTCAACAAATGCTGGCTTTGCCTCTACCAAGCTGTGTGATTTCAGGCACATCGCTTCACCTCTCTGTGCCCTAGACTTCAACTTCCAGTAATATGAGTGGCCTTAGAGTTATCAAGCACTGGGTTTTATGGATTAATTTTTTGGATTCACCCAAACACCCTTTGAGGCGTGGACTATTGTACTTTCTTTGTTGTACTGATAAGGAAACTGAGGGGAGGGCTATCAGAAATCACTTCTGTGTCAGACAGGGCATTAGAACCCAGGGAGTCTGATCGTAGACCCTGGCTCTTAATTAATTATATATTTATCCTCCTTTCCCATGACAGTGGCTTCTTTACAAGTTAGCTGAGAGAATTAAATAGCACTCGTTTTTGTTGTTGTTGTTCAAGAGTTTTGCACATAGATAAAGAACAAAGAATATTATAAAGACTTCTACACACCCAACACCAATAAGCAGCCAGTCTTTGCCTATCCATTCTCTGCTTTCCTTCTATTTTTGGTGGTGCTGGAATTGAACCCAGGGACTTTCCACATGCTAGGCAAGTGCTCTCCTGTCCTGTGTTATTTATTTCTTTGTTGTGAGCCAGGAGTTTTCTGTATAGCCCAGGCTGTCCACAAACCTGCAACTTTCCTGCCTCAGATTCCCACGTGCTGTGTCACAGGCATGTGCCACCATTCTCCATTCTGTTATTTTTAAGTAAATTTTAAGCATATAGTTATTTCCATAAATATTGTCATTCTTTTTTTTGGGGGGGTGCTGGGGATGGAACTCGGGGCTTCATCCATTCTACCCCTGAGCTACACCCAGTATCTCTGAGTCTTTAAAGATAATTTTTTAGCTGGGTGTGGTGACATGTGACTGTCATCCCAAGCTTTGTGGGAGACTCAGATCAGGAGGATCATAGTTGCAGGCCAGTCCTGCAAATGTTTGCAAGACCCCATCTTAGCAAAAAAAACAAAAACAAAAACAAAAACAAATCTGGGCATGGTAGCACACACCTGTCATCTTAGCCACAGTGGAAACTAGAAAGCAGGAGCAAAGTTCAGACCAGCCTGGGCAAAAAGTGAGACCCTATTTCCAAAATAACCAAAGCAAAAAGGGCTGGAGGAGTGGCTCAAGCAGTAGAACGCCTGCCAAGCAACTGCAAAGCCCTGAGTTCAAACCCCAATATTGCAAAAAAAAAAAAAAAAAAACATACATATATAAATATATACACACACATATATATATATATATCTTTTGCCCTCAATACCATTATTTCACCTTAAAATAATTAATGTCTCATTATCTGAGATATCCTGACTATGCTCGACTTTCCCTTTGACTCTAAAATGACTTTTTTTAAATTAAAAAAATCCGGATCCAAATGCAACCTGCGTATTAAAACAGTGATATCTTTTTTTAAAGCTACCCTTAATCTAGATCTTTTCCTTCTACCTCTGTTTCCCCTTCATAATTTATCTAGTGCGTGAACAAGATTGTTTTCCCTGTACAAGCACATAACAATTTTAATGTTCACTAGAATGAATATTAATTCCTTGAAGGCTTAGACTAAAGTTTCATTTTAGAAAATGTCTTATTTTTTCTCAGTTATGAAGAAAACAGCTCAAAATTGCAGTGGAGTCAGGTTTAGTCAGTCTACTGATTAACACCACCCAACCCCAGTCCTGGTTGATAAGCTAGAGTCCGGGTGCATTTTAATGTGTTAGATAGAATTTGGAGCGATCAGGGCAAATTCTCACCCAGATTGCCTCTTTGAGGGCCTGGAAAAGGAGACTTTCTCCAAGACCCTGGAGAAGGAAAATTACAAATGTACAGTTCTATGATATGTGCAGGTGCAGTACACCACATGTACAACTGTGCAGGGCCCCTGGGTCCTTAGGAGGGGCTCTGGGGGGAGAACCTGCCTCACCTCTGCCGCTCCCTTCCCCACAGGAGATCAAGAGCAACAAGACAGTTCTGCATTTGGCTGTGCAGGCTGCCAACCCAACCCTGGTTCAGTTGCTGCTGTCACTACCGCAGGGAGACCTGGGGGCCTTTGTCAACATGAAGGTGGGCATTGGGGTCCTGTGGGCGGTGGACATGAGAAGGATGTACACGCAGAGGGGTGTGTGGGACATGGTGTGGCAGGACATGGATGCAGTTTAGGAGGCCCGGGCAGCAGAGAGTGGATCCTTATCAGCCTCCATCACTGTTCCAGGCCCATGGGAATACAGCCCTCCACATGGCGGCCGCCCTGCCCCCTGGGCCACCCCAGGAGGCCATCGTGCGGCACCTGCTGGCAGCAGGCGCGGACCCAACACTCCGCAACCTAGAGAACGAGCAGCCTGTCCACCTGCTGCGGCCCGGGCCGGGCCCTGAGGGGGTAAGCACTGCACCCCATGTGAGCTGTGGGGAAGGAGGAACCCCTGACCCCACCCAGTCCCGACTTTAGAGAGTGACATCTAATCTTGGAACCTCAACCTTATCTTCCCAATGTGACCTCTGACTTCAGTGTCTGACCTGTCCCTCAACATGGTGACTCTTCCTGACATCAACTCCAGCCCTGACCTCTGAGTATAACCTGGACTCCCAACCCTGAGTCTTTTTGGTTTGGTTTTTTTTTGGTTTTTTTTTTACGGTACTGAAATTTGAACTCAGGGCCCACACCTTGAGCCACTCCACCAACCCATTTTTGTGATGGATTTTTTTGAGATAAGGTCTTAGCTTCGAACCTGATCCTCCTGATTTCTGCCTCCTGAGTAGCTAGGATTACAGGTGTGAACCACTGGTACCCAGCTCCCAACCCTAAATCTTGATCTCAAAGTGTGACTTTTAATCCCAAAGTGGGACCTCTGAACTCAGTCTTGACCTCAAACCTGACTTCTCATCCTTGCTCTATGCTTTGACTCTCATCCAGTGTGATCTCCAAGCCGGGAGCCCCTTTTCCTGCCTTCCAATCTGGTGTGAACCCTTTCCCAATATCTGAACCCAGACCTTTGCCACCAGGCCCCCCATCTTGAATTTGACCTTCCTGCCCAAGCATCCCCACCTGGCTTCTCCCAGTCGCTGAGTCCACAGGGTGCCCCTGCCCCTCCCCCTCCCCCACACTTCTCATGGCCTTGCTTGTCCTCAGCTCCGGCAGCTGTTGAAGAGGAGCCGTGTGGCCCCCCAGGCTTGTCCTCTTAGGACGCAAACCCAGAACCTGGACTGATTTTCCAGTCCCCACCGTCCTGTGGGACAGCCAGCGTATGCCTGTGTTGCAGATGTGTCATGACGTATGTGGAATGCCCTGCCATTGGGGTCTTACATTAAAACCCCAACATGGCTACAGGGGGTGAACAGTTCCCAATATTTGGGGTGGTATGATACCCGCTTCCCTCACAAGGGGCCTTCTGGATGATTCTATGAAATCGAGGCCCCTTGATTGTTTCTGTGAAACACCCCGGAACCCTCTAACCCTCTACCTAGCAGGATCTTTCAGGATCCTCCCTTATCTCAGCCCTTCACATCCAGGAGCCCGGATGTAAATCCAGGGCGTCCCGAGTCTATCCCTACTTAGGCCTCTCGATGGCCATCTCCCCCTCCCCTGGACCCCCACCCCTCAGGCTCCAACCCTTGAGACAGAGGAAGGACCCTCTGAGTCCTGCACTTGCTCGTCCAGAGCTTGGCGGGTCATTGTCCCAGACCCCAGTGTCCTTAAGCAGACCTCTTCCCTAGCGTGATACGAACATCCTGACCCTCTCCATTAAACTCAGTTTGAACTCAACTCTTGTCTCATCTCTGGGGCGTTGGTGGGGGGTAGTGGGTGCGGTGTCCCACCGAGGGGGTCCTGTTTGGATGATTGTGCATGGGTGGGGCGTGCAGCAGATGCGTGCTGTCAGCCCTCACTCCGTCCACACACGGTGGGCGGCCTGACCGCAGGCCAGGCACCTGCACATGTTTACTTCCTGTGTTCTAGAGACTGGGAAGGAGTTGACTGAGGCTCATCCAGAGTCTCATGAGGGCACTTCCCTGGCTTGTAGGTGGCTGCATGCTCAGACCCCTGGTGCTGCTCTGCCCTGTGTGAGACACAACGGCCTTAAAAGCCAGGAAGGGGCTGGCAGAGTGGCTCGAGCACCTGCCTAGCAAGCATGAAGCCCTGAGTTCAAATCCCAGTAACATAAAAAAAAAAAGCCAGGGAATGTACTGGGCTGGGTGTGGCTCAGTGGTAGAGCACTTGCCCAGCTGTATGAGGCCCTGGGTCCCACCTCCAACACCTCAAAAAACCCCAGGAGTCAACGTTCTCTTCCCACTCGAGCAGCCTTCAACAGATGGCTCTAGGTGCCCACCCCCCTGGGATAACTAGGAAGTGTGTTTCTGCTCACATTCCCAGAGACGCCAACAGAGTGACGCTGAGGGTCCTCAGCTGCTAACACAGGTTTTTTTGCCCGGCCTCCCTTCCCAGTCTCTCTCCCAGCTTCCCCTACCCTAACGAACTTGTCCACAAGTGCAGAAACTCAGGCCAAGGCAGAGGACCCCCAACAGGTCCTCTTCTCCCCATACTTGCCCACCACAATCGATCACCCACAGAGCCCCACCCCAGAGAATCCCCACTCAGAGCCTCTCAACTATATAGAGGCACGCTTTGGGGCTGGTGCCAGAGTCTGCACCTCAACATGCGAGGCTTCAAACGCTCACATTAAAAAAAATTTTTTTGGCACTACTGGGATTTGAACTCAGGGCCTCACATTTGGTAGGCAGGCACTCTACCATTTGAGCCATATCCCCGCCCTTTTTTGCTTTAGTTATTTCTCAGATAGAGTCTCCCACTTTTTGCCTGGGGCTGGCATCAGACAGCAATCTCATCTACTCCTGCATAGCTGGGATTCCAGGCGTGTGCCACTACTCCCAGTTGGTTGATTGAATTGGGATCTCACTTTTTGCCTAGGCTGGCCTTGGACTAAAATCCTCTCCATCTCTGCCTCCTGAGTAGCTGGGATTACAGGCATGTGTCACCATGCCTAACTGCTCACCTCATAATTGTGATTCTTCAATCTGGACTGGGCTCAGCTGGTAGTGCTGCTGTCTTTCTCCGGTCACTCACACAGCTGCAGTGAGCCGGTGGCTTTCCTGGGCAGGAATCCAAGACTACTTGGCTTGTGTGTCTAATAGCCCTGCTGAAGTGAACCAAAACTACGTGTGGCCCAGGAGGGTCTTTTTATATGGTGGCTACAGGCTCCAAGAAACATTATTCTGAGAGAACGCACCTTGTTTGCTGATGTTTTGCTGACCAAGTCAGTCAGGTAGCCACCCCCAGGATCAGCATGATAGCATTACCCCAGGCATGGAAATTAAGAGGACAGAGTTTTTGGGGGCTACCAGTGTTAAGTCCCCCATATTAACTGTCTTCCGCCAGCGTGTGTATGTGCTTTTGCTTATGCTGACGTAGCAGAGCTGGCCTGTGAAGAATTCATATGAATATGCTGGGTTTCATTGGTTTTAAGAATTTTCTTCCTTCCTTTCTTTCTTCTTCTTCTTCTTCTTTTTTTTTTTTTTTTTTGCAGTACTGGGGCTTGAACTCAGGGCCTTTAAGCCACTCCACCAGTCCTTTTATGTGATGGGTTTTTTCTAGATAGGGTCTTACGAACAATTTGTGTGGGGTTGGCTTCAAATGCGATCCTCCTGATCTCTGCCTCCTGAGTAGCTAGGATTACAGGCGTGAGCCACTGGTGCCCAGCCCTAAGAACGTAATTGAAATTGGAATTCATCTTACAGTCAGTCGATTCTGTGACATGGTTTAGTCTTTGTATATTGACACGATAAACCCCAGAGGAATAATATTTGGAGGTGGAGCCCTCATGATAAGGTTAGTGACTTTATGAGACGAGACTGGTGGTGGTGGGAAGCTTGCCGCTCCTTCTCTGTTTTGTTCTGACACAGCAAGGTGGCCGACTGCATACCAGGAAGAGTGCCCTCATCAGACACTGGGTTTGCTGATACCAATATTGAACTTCCGAGCCTCTAGAACTATGAGAAATAGGTGTTTATTGTTTAAGTCACAGAATACCACCGTATTCTGTTATAATAGCCCAAACTAGGACATGTATTGACAGTACACACACACACACACCACTAACGTGATAGACTGTCCCTGAAAAACTGCAGGAAGAATTAAGAGCCAGAAGCCAGTGGCTCACACCTGTAATGCTAGCCATTCAGGAGGCAGAGATCAGGAGGATCGTGGTTCAACGCCAGCCCAGGCAGATAGTTCATGAGACCCTATCTCAAAAATACCAACACAAAAAAAGGGCTGGTGGAGTGGCTTAAGTGGCCAGAGCGCCTGCCTAGCAAGCATGAGGCCCCAAGTTCAAACCCTAGTGCCACCAAAAAAAAAAAGAATTAACAAAAGCATCTTCAATGTGAAAAGAAGGGTAGCTGGGGGGAGGGGTGCAAGGGGATTAAATAAGCAATAGCAAAATAATATTTTCATAATACCAGCAGTTTAAAATTAATTAGCCTGAGTTTTACCGTTAAAATGTAAACTTGAAGGAACCACACGCTGACCGTATTGAGAAAAACGGCGTTTTACTTCCAGCCTCACCGCTTGGACTCCTTACCTGTGGCCAGCCTGGGGCTCCCTCGTGGCTGTGAAAACACAGGGGCAGCTTTTCCCTCGCCGGTGGTGGGGGTGATGGCCTCCTGCTGGGCCTCCGTGTGACTGATGTAGAGGGACGGACCGAGCGCCCCGGGGAAGCCGCGGCATCGTCGGAACAAAGGCGTCCTTCTCCTTGCACCCAGCAGGTGTGTGTTTAGCACACAGGCCTCCATCTCCATGAACGCATTGAGAAGAGGCTCTGCTAACTCGTAGGGCCTTTGGGAGAATTAGAAACGGGTACTCCCTACCCAGAGCCAGCTGTCCGAAAATCACGCCACAGATGGACATTAGCGTGTGGCGCGCTACCGCCACCTGCTGGGTAGTTGTGGTAAAAGGCAAAGCTACACTAGGAGGCAAACGGGTTGCCTGGACTTTTGCAGAGACAGAGACACAGAGAGAGAGAGAGAGAGAGAGAGAGAGAGAGAGAGAGAGAGAGAGAGAGAGAGAGGAGGGAGGGAGGGAAGAAGGAAGGAGGGAGACTCTTTCTATGTAGCCAGAACCTATGGCCTCCTGACTCTGCCTCCCAAGTGCTAGGATCTACAGGCAGCCTGCAGTACACAAGTTGAACAGTGCATTGAAATAGGCTTGAAATAGACAGCAGGTTAGTAAAATGGCCAAGAGTACACGTGGTGGAGCCAGGCTTCCTGGGCTGAATTCCTAGTTCCCACTCTTCCTAGATGTGACCTTAGGCACGTGGTGTAACTTCTCTCTGCCTCCATAATTTCATATTAGACAGGGTCCATGAATTCCTTGTACGGATGGACACGATTAAGTGCACAAAGGCATGTAAAGCCCTTGGGGACACTACCTGGCACAGGGTGAGCACCCTGAGAGCTTGCCTCCATGATGTTTAAAAAACTTATTTAACTAACAGGGCCAGGTATGGGGGGAGGCAGAGACAGGAGGATCAGCTGAGGGAAAGTTAGCGTAAGACCCTCTCTGAAAAACAAACTACAAGCAAAAAGACTAGGTTGTGTAGCTCAAGTGGTAGAGCATTTGCGAGGCCCTGAGTTCAAGTCCCAGTACCGAAAAACAGACAAACACAACCAAAAACCCTTTGCTAGGTGGCAGGCACAATAGCAACCCTTTTGGTTCTCCTAACAACTGTTTTAGGACAGGTAGCAGTACATGGACAGCGCTGACTTCCAACTGTCACACAGCTGGTCACGTGAGGCTGTTCCCACAATAGGTGCTTGCAGACATCACATATGTCTCTCTGGGACATGCAACTGGACTTCAACACCCCAGGGGGCTTCCTATCAACTCCCTAAGAAGCGATGGGGACTTTGCGGTGTGGGAAGGGTGGTTCAAACCCTCATAGGGTTCTCAGACTGGGGTATGCTGTGTGTGATTGTGTGTAGTGTAGGGTAAGTAGAAGGTCCAAGCCCAGCTTCCTTGGGGTGGACCCTGGCAGAAAGCAGATAGAGGCCTGGAAGTCGTGGTCCGTTCAGCACCACGGAAAGCTCCCGGGCAGAGGCAGAAAGCCCAGCGGAGGCCTCTGAGCTCCGCCCCCTGGATGCCAGCCCCTCCCACGGACCCCGCCCAGATTTAAAGCTCCATCCAGTTCAAAGACATGAGGGAGGCTGGGGCAGAGACGAACACTGCACTCAGCCGTGCTTACACACAATTCTGACTCTCCATAGAGACACAAGATGGCCTGTTGGGGGAAGAGGACTTTATTGGGATGTTAGTCGGAAAACCATGGTTAGGTGAACTCCAGGGAGCAACAGACACTAGGACCAAGGTGGTGGTCAGCTTAAGGAACAATAAATTAACTTATAAAATAAATTAAGGTGAAGAGGTCCCAAGTGGGGTGGCAGCTGGGGAGACTCAGGGATTTCTTAGGGACAGACTTTGGAATTGGAAAGGGGAAATAAGAATGAACTTGTCAAGACCTCCCTCCCCCAGGCTGGGAGTTGGGGTTTTGGGCTCCAGGAAGAGGGGCGGTCTGGGCTCAGCTAAAGGCATCAAGGGGGCAGGTTCAGGGTCGTTCCTCCAGGAAGCGGTAAGTGGGGTTTTCATAGCCATGCCGCTGCAGTTCTCGGAGCTGCTGCTCCTCCAGGGTAAGCATGGGGTCCACCTGCAGCAGGGGCAAGGGAGGGCTTGTGCATGGCGCTGGCCGCACCTGGCTGCACAGCTCCCAATCCACCCAAGCCCACACCATGTCTCCACTGTGCCTTACCTCCACCACTCCATGGCTGATAGCCCCATAGGGCTTCTTTCTGCGCAGGAGCAGCACAGAAAGGACGATGAGGGAGCCTCCTCCCGCTCCCATGATCAGCAGACCAGACACAGCCTCCCGGGATACCCCTGTCCCAGCTGGTGCCTATGGGGAGAGGACATGGAACCTAGGGCATCTTTGAGGTTCACCAGGCTCCTGTGTGGCTTTGGGGACCACAGCCTGGACACTGACCTCTGACCTCTCCCCTTAGGCACCCAGGATCTGCCTCCTCTTACCAGCTCATCTCTCTGAATCTCCGAGGAGTGAAAAGGAAAACCCCTTGGGACAGACGCATTCACCTGGGGGAACAGGAAGTGTCATGGACCCCAGTCTCCTCCCCACAGGGGCCCAAGAGGGCATGTCCCAGGATGTTCTTTGTCAGGCCCTTCTTCCCTCAAGTCAAGGAACTCCCAGCATCCCTCCCCTCACCACCAGAAGTCCAGGCCCCCTCTTGTCCTCCCTCAGGACCCCATAGGTCCCACATACTTACCTTTTGCTCATACTGTTCCAGGGCGGACATCTTCTCTTTCCCAGAGGACGCGGCATCTTGTTCTGTGGACCCTACCCCCCAAGTCCCATCTCACTCTTGAGGGTCCAGAGTGGGCCCCACCTCAGGAGGATTCAGAAAGGGATAGGACTCCACCCCAGGATGTCTGTGGTTCCCAATGCATGATTCTTCTCCATTTGGGGTTTAGAATTCAGTGGGATTTAGGGGCTGCGTCTATGCTGAGTGACACTCACCTTTTGAAAGGGTCACAGCAGCATCTGCTGGAAGCCAAAAGAATGGTAAAGAGGAAGCCATCATCAAAGAAAGAGTGAAGAAATACCCTCCCAGAGACCGAAGAAGGGTGACAAAGGACCTACAAAGGACTTCACATCCTGGCATCCTCCCCATCCTCTCTCACTGACACCCCTCAGACTTTAGGAGATTGGAAATGAGGTTGGAACTGGGAACCTGTAACACAAGCTACTCGGGAGGCAAAGATGAGGAGAATCGCAGTTTGAGGTCAGCCCTATTTTGAAAATACTCAACACAAAAAAAGGGCTGTTGGAGTGGCTCAAGTGGTAGAGTGCCTGCCTTCTCCTAGAGGAGGAGGAGGAGAAAGGAAGGGAAGGAGGGGAAATGAGGTTGGAGGCTTGTCCCCCAAAGTCTGGGGTCATCCATTTTAGGCTCACTCACCATCTTTGGAATCCAGAGGTTGCAGCCCACCCTTGTCCTCGATGCTGCTTCCAGGCACAGTGGCTTCCAGCTCATTGGGACCCGGATGTTCAGAGTGAAGAAGTTCCTCTGAGGGGAGAATATGCAGAGAGGTGGTTGATGTGGTGAGAATAGGGACTTCACAAACAAAGTGGGGTGCTTAAAGGGCACCCTAACAATTAAGTGGTTAGGAGATCAGGTACACAGCAGAAGCAGCCCCATGTGTGTGGTAGCTCTAAGTGTAACCTGGCAAAGTGGGGAGCTGGGTGGAGGCACCCCTGGCAGGAAGGATGGAGGTTGAAGTTTTAAGAATCTGGCTTTCTTAAATATCAGGCGGTTTAGGGTTAGGTGTGAGACATCCAGGAGGAAGTCACAAAAGATCTGGGGGCTGTGTAAGATCTCACTTTCTGGTATTCATGTTTTGTGTAAGCTCCATCTCTTGAATCTTGACTCAGTCTGTAACTTGTTCTAACCAACAGAATGTGGGTCTAAGCCTTAGGAAGGTCTGGAGGGGCTAGGGATGTAGCTCAGTGGTAGAGCTCTTGCCTAGCACACACAAGGTCCTAGGTTCTATCCCTAGCACTGAAAAATATATATGTAACTGGCCTGAGCTGTCACATAGGAAGTCCAGTTACCCGATGGACACCACAGGAAGAGGATCATGGGGAAAAGAGGACCTGAATTTACTTGGAGAAAGAAAGCGGCCCATTTCCCAGAGACCCCATCCCTAGATGACCAGGTAGCTAAATACAGCTGCACACTTGACTATTGGAAAGACCAGAAGAACTACCCAGCTGAACCCAGACCAGATGGTGGAATCATGAGCAAAGAAAAACAGCTGTTGGTTTAAACTAGAAAATTTTAGGGTGGTTTATTACTCAAGAATAGATAACTGACACCCAGCACAACAATAATAAAAAAAAAGGATAGATAACTGAAATGGAAGGAGGAGGTTGAAGGTTGGGCCAAAGTCTGCCCTCAGAGATCGAGAATGGGGACCAAGGGTAATGGCACTCACGGATCAGGGGCCGCAGCTCCTGAGCCAGCTGGGGGTTCTGGTCAAGGAGCCCCAGGCTCTGATTCATCCTTTCCTCAATCACTTGAAGGTGGGTCTGCACCTGTAGGGAGTAGGGATGAAGGCTGAACTGGGCAATGCAGGCTGCAGAAGAGGAAATTGAGGCAGAATGAAAGAGGAATTCAATAGGATCCCCCCCAAAAAAGCAGCACATATAACAGACAGGAAGTAGCATACAAGGGTTGTGAATTGGGCCATAGGAGGAAGGAAATTGAAGGAGAAGCAGATCACAAAGAGAAGGAAGAGATGTACACAGACTGGAAGAGAGAGGATTGGGAAGGAAAGGAAGGAAATGAGTGGTCCCTAGGACATAGGAGACAAGGTGAGTACAGAGGGGAGGAAAGAGAGATTAGTGGTCAGAAAGTAGCATCTGAAGACTAAAAAATAGAGTTGAGGAAGTTCCAGAGATAGGCAGTGGGTCTGAAGAGTAATATAGAAATGAGAGTGGTTCAAGGGCAACACTTGAAGTTCAAAGGCACAAAAGAAAGTACTTGTGGACAGGAAGACGGTGGCTGCAAAGCAGAGGTTTCAGGGAAAACAAGCTGGGCTAGGGAGGAAAGAGGGCTGAGGGACAGGAATAGAGTTCAAGGCTCAGGAAGAGGATTCTGGGAAAGGAAATAGAAATCCAAAAGATAGGAAGTAGAGAAACAACAGGAAGTTGAGTTGAGGGACTGGAAGGGGACTTGAGGCACAGAAAGGAGGTTCTAGGCATAAGCAGGGTGGCAAGGGTCAGGGTGTGAGGGACAAGAGAAGGGTCTGAGCAGGGAGCTGGACGTATGTGAGCACCTGGAAACGCATCTGCTGAGCCTTTTCTGGATCCACAGCAGCCACATGCTGGTAGTGTCGCAGTGTGTGCCTTTGCTCCTTCTGCTCTGCTCGCAGGTAGCGCCGGAGGGCCACCAGGACACGCTCTGCCTGTGGGAGGGTTAGAGACTGCCCAGGTCTGCCCTAGTCCTTCTCACCTCAAGCTCATCACCCCCGGCTCCCCCCTACCTGAGGTGGATCTCCCTGCAGTGCTGCCAGGAAACCTTCCAGGGCTGCCCGGCGCTGGTCATTGATAAGGGCGATGACCCTGGTGGCATGGGTCTCCACCAGACGCTGTCGTTCACCAGATACCTGCTCCTCCAGGGTCTGCAGAATGGACTGGAAGTGCTGGTGAGGGGGTGAACACAAAGTCAGGAGAGGTGAAGATGGGTGAAAGCCCCATCAAAGAGAGTCTGAAAAGGTATGGAGGGCCATGAATGGGGTGCAGTAGGTCTGGTGATGACTCAGCCAATCTGGGTCAAAGGAAGGGCTATGGGGCCAGGCAGAGTGGGGGCAGGGCTAGGCCTACTGGATGCCAATCTGAGGGTGTAAATTTTAAGATTGGGTGGGAACAACCAGGGAACAGAACTGATCAACATTAAAGTAAAAAGGACGAAGCCTTAAAGAGAAGGCAGGGATAAACCAGAGAAAGGCTGTGCCTCTGGGAGACTGATGGGGTGGGACCAAGAGGAATGGAGGCTGACATGACTGGGGTCCACCAAGGGGTAGAGGGAGCTGGAGTCAGAATTAGGGGGCTGGGTTTACTAAGCAGGGACTGAGGAAAGTGAGACCAGGCAAAAGAGAGGCCAGAGGGGTGGGGCCAGAGTCATGGGCGGAGCCTCAGAGGGACATGAATGCTTGAAGGAGATGCTGAGAACTGCCTGGTTATATCTGCAAGCAGCTTGGCTCAGAAGAGCTGGTTTTCAGAAGAAAGTCAAGTTAAGATAGGGTTAAACCTGGCCAACCTGAAGAGGGGCACAATGTCAGGTCAAGAAGGCCAGGGCAAATGTAGGATGGGACTGGGAAAGGCCAAGGTAAGTAGGAAAGAGTTGAAATGGATGGGACAGGACACAGCTAGAGCCAGACTGAGACCATGCACCCTGTGGACAGGCATTAATAGGTCTCACTGAACATTGTCCTACCTCATTCAGGGCCTGTCTGTCAGCTTTAGGCAGATTCTTGGATTGGTTGTCAGCCATGGCCCATTCACGCATCACCTAGAGGAGAGGGAAGATTCAGGATCCTGGAATCTACCCTGATCCACAAGGTGAGTGGCCCAACCACTCTTCAACATTCTCAAGGATCCAGTGCCCCTAGGCTCATAGCTGTTGGATTCCCAAATAGGAAACACACACAGGGAATTTAAAGTGGACAGCTTCCATAGAATCTGGTGGCATCTCTGTGGGATTTCAGGTGGGTGAGGGAATCCCTGGTCATCTTAGGGGGTGGTATTGAAGGAGGCTTGGGCAGCCTTCAGAGGTAGTATCGATGTGTTCCTAAGGAACTTCCTGGTGTCCAGGGAGCTCTGTGGCAGTGGTAGGGTCTTGGGGTCCCCAGTATCATCACCTCATTAATCTGGCGCATTCTACGTTCTTCCAGGTCCATCTTGGCTCTCAGAAACCCTTCATGCTCACTGATTTCCCCAGGCATGCCGAAGTAAACATCCACACCGTCGGTGGGCCTTGGTGTGGGAGTGACTGCAAAACCAGGGATCAGGTGAGCAGGTCACTTTTCCTATCTGGAGAACCACTTTCTGAGAGTGCTTTGGTACCATGCATGTATCCAGTTTAGCAAAGCTGCTGCCTGGCATCATGGGAGATGTAGTTCTTGATGTGGCCTATTCTTTCAAAGCTCAGATGCCATTATACCATCTTCTGAGCTTTCCCAAAAGGATCCTTAGGACCTACCAAATGGTCCCTCCACTTCCAACTATCCCAAACTACCTGTCATTTCGCATTCATCATAAACTAACCCTTCCACCTCTACTTTATCCAACGCTTTATCCATTGCCCCCAATTGGGCCTCTGCCTGACAGGTCACTTCCAAAGGTGGCCCCACACCAGACTCCCCCAAATAACCCTATCCCCAATGATTAAGAGGACTGGGAAGACCGCCTCACCTTTGCTGATCACTGCAGGAGTATGGGAGCTTGTGGGTGGGACCCTTTCCTCCTCTTCTTCCTCTTCAGCCTGAGGGGGCTCCACGAAGTAATCATCCAGGGGCTGCAGAAAGGATTCTTCCTCTTCCTCATCCTCACCCCTCTCGGTTCTGCCCGCCAGGGGCCAGGAGCGGGTGGAAGGGTCACTGAAGGAGCAGGAGAAGACTCAACAAGTAGGATTCCAAGTCCCAAGTCCCCAGCCTTCCATCCCCTGCCTCAGAAGCCCGGGGACGGGCTTGGAGGGTCCTGTCCCACTCACCCAACTGCTGTCCCAGATGGATTGGTGGTCACTGGAGGGGGGCAACACACATACTCCACACCTCGGAACCTATCTGCGCCACAGGGTAAAAGCATGCCGGAGCCATGCAGGATGAGGCCCTGGGAGCTGCAGGCCTGTAGGAAGATGGGGCCCAGAGGCCAGGATTATGGAGTGGAGGGTATGGGTAGACAGCCCAGATGACTGGGTCTAGGGGGTTAATACGGCTGAGAGCCTGGTTTCCTGGTTTTGGAGGAAGGGGCTGAGGGATGGAATTCCTAGATCCCCAGAGGGAAGAGGGTCTGTAGTCCAGACTCCTGGGTTCTGAAGGTTGTTAGGGGCCTGGACTCCTGGGTCCTGAGTGCTGGGAGCGGGAATGGGTGGGTCAAGATCCTGACCTCCTGGGCCTCCCGATGCCTCCGGGTTGAACTCTCGCACTGGTCCATGCGCTCCTGGTGCAGGAACCGGCAGCCTTCTGGCACCAGCAGAGCCTCGCTGACAAATTCACCAGCTGAGGAATGGGGGACATCAGAGTGAGATTCTCCCACAGCTGCCAGCCCCACCTTCTCAGACTCCAGATAGTTATCCTCAAGTCTTCTCTGCCCGAAGCCGCTGGGGATGCACCCATACCTCTAAATTGGCCCCTAAACAAACAGGGACTCAGAACCTTGTCTCTCAGAGACTCCTGCTTCTGTTCTCCACCCCCAGCCTGTGACTCACGTAGGCAGCGGAAGGGCACAACCTGGTGGTGGGGATGGGCACAGCGGCCGCCCCGGGTACCCCCGCACCAGCGCTCCATTGGGATAGCCTGTGCCGCCTGCTCCACACGTGCGATGCGCAGCTCCGGATACATCTGGGGGCACCAGGGAGGAGCCGTCAACCCGCTGCCCCATTCCTGCCAGCCATCCCCGTCTGCTGGGTTTATTATTCGTGCGGACAGCTTCTCCCTAGGTCTTGATTCTCTATAGATCCAGCCTTAGGTATCTAAGCTGCTGGTGTCCATTGGCCACGCCCCCTAGGGGGCTGTACCTTAAAAATGTCATCATCTTTACGCTCAACTTTTCTGTCCAGTATCTTTACGAAGATCCCTCCGCCTACCCATAAACCCAATCTCTCTTAAGTCCACTTTTCCGGTCACTTACTCCCCCAAAGTCAGGTTGCCCCATCTCTTTCTTGATACTTTTTGGTTTTGGTGCTGTCTACTCGTTTTGGCTCCCATCTTTTTGTCTTGGCCACTCCCACCTATACCATTTATCAAAGCCCAGCGCAGATTTCTAAAGCCCTCTTCACTGGCTATCTCGGTTAGCCGGCGTCTTTGCGCGGTTCTCCTCACTTCTGACTTAGTTTCTCAGAACAGATTCTGCCTCTCCAGGTCATTGGCCACGCCCCCTAGCTTCCCTGGCCTGCTTGGATCTCGCCTGTCTCCAAACCCCCGCCGTTTGCAAGTCTAGCTTCTTGGGGGTGACCTCGCGGTGTCTTGGACCCGCTTTCCCGCCGACCAAGCCCCTCCCCGTAGGTCCCGCCCACCTGTCTGCAGTACTCCAGCACGCGCTGCGGGTCGCGCAGACAGCGTCGAGAGCGCTGTGGGTCTGGTTCCCAGAGGCCGGTGCGCAGGTCCCGGTGAAGGGTTAGACGCCCGCATAGTCCAGCCACCTGAGCCGACCCCGGATCCTAAAAGTGGAGGCGGGCCGGGCAGTGAGGGACGTTAGCATACAGGTCGCCCTGCTTGTTTGCTCCTTAAGATCCAGTCAGTCCTCCTCCCCAACCCCCCAAGTACCAGCTCCTTCCCCCCCCCAAAAGGATCGCACACCCTTCTAGGTGGAGGGACCGTTCCCTAGGAAACAGCTCCCATAGGGCGGGGGCGCCCCAGCTCTCCCGTTGCTAGGGCGACCCAGGTCCCCCGGGTTTGTCGCTGCCTTGTTGCTGCGGGAACAGGCTCCGCCCCCACCCTTGCGCAGCCGCGCTGGAGCCCGAAGGGGTTAAACCTGAATGGTGGGGGAGGAGGCCAGAACCCAGGCGTTCTGGCCCCTCCTCCCTCCATCCCTAGTTCAGTATCCCATTGCGGGGGTGCAAAGACCACAAGGCCTTGCTTCTCTGCGGGCCTGGACACCGGGCCCTTGAGGACTGGAGAGCTACTTCCTAGTTGGAGAGTAGTGGCTAGAGGCCTGGACTCCTGGGTCCTGGGAGCCTGGGAGGGAGGGTCTTCACATGGGTCCCAAGGATGCAAGGGACCTGAATTCTGGGATCCAAGTGCCCTGCTGCCTGGTGGGTCCTATGTTCAGGTGGTGAGGGGTTGGGGCCGAGTCGACTAGGGCGAGAGGGGTGGGCTGGACTTCTGGAACCAGAGGCTCTGGAAAAGCCAGGACCTAAGCTGCGGGTGGGAGGGGGCTGGGACCGGGGACGACAGATGACAGGGAAGCTGGGGCCTGAAATCCTGGGTTCATGAATACCCAGTGCTGTTGGGGGCGGGGAGCAGGCCACCTGGCTGAAAAGACTGCGCTTTCTGCCCGGGACATGTCCGCGCCGGGGTCCAGAGAGGCCCGGTCCCGCCCCTTCCCCCATCCCCCAGGACCCGGCCCGGCCTCACCTCGGCCGCGCCGGGACTCCCACCGGCCAGGCTCCCGACGGCGAGCTGCGCGCGCAGGAGCAGCAGCAGCAACAGTGGCAGCAGCAGCGGCAGCGGCGGCGGGCCCCGGCGGCGGCCTGGACCGCGAGCGGCGGGGCTGGCGGGCCCCATGTCCCGGCCCTCGCGCCCTCACGTCCCCTGCACTCCCCCGGCCCTGCCCGGCCCCAGCGGTGACAGGAGCTCCCAGCGCCGCCGCCGCCGCCGCCGCCTCCTCCCGCCGCCCCCGGGCTGCGCCGGCGCCGCCAGCCCCGCCCCGCGCCGGCCCCGCCTTCCTGGCCAGGACAATAGCGTGGTCGCTCTGCGCAGAGCCGAGCAACTGGGAACCCCGGGTGCGGGCCTGCGCCAGGCCCCCGCCCCTGGAGAGTCCGGGCGGCCCACCCCGTGCAAAGGCCTCGCCACGAGTCCAGATCGTGGCTTCTGGAGGTCTGGATTTTCAATCCTCCCTCGGGACCTTTCTCCCAGACGCCACAATCGGCTTTGTCCTCCTCCAGGAGTGCCAGCATCGGACCCTCACCCCTTCAGTAAATTGAGGGTCCCAGCAATACGTGCCTCCAAATTTTCTCCAATCAGGAGCGTGACAGTTGAGACCCAGTCTCCTTCTCTCTCAGATCCAGTAGCCTGAGCTCCAGGCCCCTTCTCCCTCAGGACCAGAGACCAAGACCCCCACCCTTTCTCCTTCAGACCTAGTTCAGTCTTTCTGCCCTGTCTGGACCTTTCACTCCTAGCTCACGGATCTATGAACCAAAGCCCCCAGGCCCTTTCTTTCAGGATGTCCTGATTCAGGCCTTAGCATTTTATCCCTCAAGGACCCAGAACCTCAGGGACAAGGTCTGAACCCCCATCCTCACTCTAAGGACCGAGGGCCACCCCACGTTTTCTCCCCATTCTCCATCTCCTCTGTGACCCTTCAAATGAGAGTATAGAATTCTGTTTGCCTTGGCTAACTGGGACAGCCCTGACCTGTGTGTGAATCTATGTGGACTTCTATGTGTGTGCCCTGTGGGCACCTGCCTGCATGTGTGTCTATGTTTCTGTTTTCAACTGTGTGTGCATGTGTTTGTGTTTGTGTAGATGTATGTTAAAAGAACTGAGCGTGCTAAACAGGTAGAAAAAGCTGACAGGTGGCTCACCTCATAGACTGGAGTGGAGAAAGAACTTTGGGATAAGCTTGAGGGACTTCCTTGATGGAAAGAAATAATATGAGGAATCAGGTATGATGGTGCACACCTGTAATCCCAGCTAAGTGGGAGGCAGAGATAAAAGGAAGGTGGCCCAAGACCAGCCCAGGCAAAAGTGAGAGACCCTATCTGAAAAATAAACTAAACCAAAAGGAACTGGGGATATGGTTCAAGTGGTAGAGATTCTGTCTAGCAAGCGTGAGACCCTGAGTTCAAACCCCAGTATTGCCAACCAAACAAAAAACCACCACCCAAGAAATGATGTCAGGAGAATCCCCAAGGCATATTTGCCTCTTTGGCTTTTTTTTTTTAAATTAAACATAAATATTTTTGTCACCAGATTCCCCTTCACCTCCACAGTGGTAGTTTTCATACTATTCCCACTGCATGGGTCCAGTTCTTTCTGAGTCTTTAAGGGAGATGGAATCAGCTTGGGTTCCCAGAGAATAAAAGGCTATGTTGGCTGCACTTCCCCTGGCCAAACAAAGTGCCCCTCAGTGAAAGCCAGGACAGAGTGGGGCCTGTATTACTTTCCATCTTGATTTTCCCTATATTACCTTTCTTCTCCACGAAGGTGGTCATCTTGGAATATCTTCTCTCAGTGGCTAGAAATGATTTCCAGCACTGCCCCTTCACCCCTTGTCCTCCTCCCTCTGCAAAGGGCCTAACTGCCATCTTGGATATCTTTTCCACAGGAGAAAAGGTGGGCTGACCACACTGCAATGATCTTGACAATTGTAACGACCTCCCCTTCCCTCAAGTTCAGTTTGGGAGGAGTAAGGTTGTCAACTTGTTCTGGTTCTTCAGAAATCAGGACAATGCATCATGGCAAATTGAAGATCCCAGACCTTTTTAGCTGGAGCTAAAAGACTCATGTCACACATGAGTCTGAAGACGTTGGTGGCTGGGTGTGGGGAAAGAAGCATAGGGGAAGGGGGGAGTCCCGGAGGCCAAATCTGGAGGTGCAAAGGATGTGGGTTTGATGTAGTTGGTGAAAGCTCGAGGATGAGGTGTGGTGAGATAACCTGCCCGGGCTCTATACAGTCTGCAGGAGGGGACCATGTCCAGGTGGGGGTTGAAGTCATAGTAGGTAGGGGTCCCTGGAAGTCCAAGTGGGGAGGAGGGTGGCAGGAAGAGGCCTCCTCCAGGGGCTTCACCAAGGCTCAAGCTCACACTGACTCCTCGTACCTTATAGTAACCGTTGGTTGGGTCCTGAGGGACAAATGGGATTTGGTAAGGTATGTGAGGGATACAAGGAGGTGAGACACATCGAGATGGAGCCAGACCTAGAGAGAGACAAAGAGGCAGAAACAGGAGCAGGCAGGGATGGAGAGACAAAGTGAGGCAGAAAAACAGCCACAAGATACAGAAGCACAGAAGAAGATAAGATAAGCAGAGATTTGTCTGCCAGAGACAGAGAGCAAGACAGAGACAGCAGGAGATGGCTATGTGGAAAGAAGATACAGAGGGAAGGAATCATTCATCTGCCTAACAACCCCGAGGCTTTGATTCCATGTCACGCTCTGTGCCTCTGGTGTCCACCATGTCACCAGGATAGATCTGAACTCTGTTCTCATGGAGATCCCACGCCAAGAGGTAAATGATGAATCCTGACAGAGCCCAGAGGAGACTGGAGAAAGTACAGTCAGTGACAGGAAGAGATAAGCAAGTGTAATCATCAACGGATAATGCACACCTAGACCGTGGAGCTGCGTGAGATGGCCTAGGAGGCAGGGCGAGGTCTTAGCTCTAGGGGGACAGAATGAAAGGGTGGAGACACCATGAGGGAGTCCCTCCCTTCTCACCACTCACCTTAGTCTCCAGAGTCCCTTTCTCATCCAGAAGCAGGTCACTGTGGCCAGTGGGCACCCTGGAGCCCTGGGGTAAGGAACATGGTGAGAGGGAATGGCCAGAGGATCATCCTGCTCCAGTACCAGAAGCAAGATCCTTCAGCCTGCCATTGGCAGTCAGGGAGGAGGGATGGCCTGGGAGTACCTGGAAGCTGGGGTCTGGACTGAGGACAATAACGAAGGCCGTGGGGACATGATTGGATCAGGGACATATTTGGAGTTAGGCAGACATTCGGGTCTGGGGTCACAGTTAGGACTCGGGTAGTGTTTGAGTTTGGAGTCTCGGCTGGACTCGGTTATTATTTCGGGTCTGGGGACCCTGGCATCTTACCCGACCCTCGCCACTGCCCGTCTCCTCCTCTTCAGGGCCGCGTGAACTGGAGCCATCGCTGCTTCCTGGGATTCGCACCAGGTTCTTTTGCTTGGAGAAAGAGGCTGAGGCCAGGGTTAGTGAGAGGCGGAGATCAGTAATGGGCGGGGTCACGATTTGTGGAGACCAATAAGCGAGGAGAACAAGGACTGGGCGGACCGGATGGGAACCAATGAGAACCCTGGCCTGGGAGGCAGGGACTGTGAGCCTGAGGAGACTGAGTTAGGGTTGATGAGGGAGTCTTTGCCAGACGGTCTGCCAAGCCCTGCGCAGGGTTGGAGAGACCAGCTTGGGGCGGGTCCCAATTCTGCAGTCACTTGGCAGGGCATGTGTGGGGGTGGAGGGGTGGGAGTTTGGGGGCTGAGGTGGGGCTCAAGGCACTGACCCTTGCCGTAGCGCCAGCAGCAGAGGGCCACCCCAGTGATGACCATAAGGAGCGTCGTGGCCGCAGCCGCTACTCCAGCCACAATGCGGAGGGTGGGGAGCAAATCTGCAGAGAATAGAGGGGAGGTCCTGAGAAGAGGAACGGCTGTGGAACCTAGGGGACTAAGGGCTAGGGCTTGACATCCCTAGGCTCAGAAGGTTAGCAAGTTTGGGGACTCCCAAGGTTTGTTGTATCCATGAATTTGGGGTTCCACAAGTTTGAGATTATGTGAGCTTAAAACCCCTGGGTTTAGGGAGTCTTGGAGTTTGAGGGTTTTTCCTTGGCAATTTCCCATATTTGGGTTCCTTTCATTGGGATTCCTAAGTGTGAGTGGTCTTTCAGTTTAGGATTCTTTATTTGAAGAAATTTATTGTTTCGGGGTCTTGGAATTCATGGAATCCATAGTTTTGAGATTCCCAAGGTTTAGGGGTCCCTACATTTGAGGATTTTGTAGTTTGGCAGCCTCAATCTGGGGATCCCTGCTTTTGCAGAGCTTGGAATCTACAGATTTGGGGTCTTTGGGTCAGTCTCTCACCTCTACGGCTCAGAGGGACTCGGATGCCTCTCTCACCCAACCGGTTCCGGGCACTGCAGTTGAAGCCCCTGCTAAAGTCAGACTCCTGCGTCCCCGAAATGTGTAACACAGAGATCAGGCCTGGACCTTGTCCCCCGTGGGCTTCCGGGGCTGGGAATGTCTCCACCAGGAACCTGCCTCGCGACCCCGCCTCCAGGAAGCCCTCATCCCAAGACCAGATCTGCAGACACAAAGGAAGGAGGGAGATCGCTGAGGAGACTGGGGGGAGGGGGAAGAGCAGGTAGGAAAAAGTCACGGAAAGTCACAGCTGTTTCAGGGGTGCAGGTGGGAAGTTAGGGATCGTGGCTAGGGGTCATGGTAAAGGGATTTTTCCTCACCACGGCTTCTGGGGCAGGAGACGCGAACACCAGACACTGGAGGCGGGCGGGGCCCCTCAAGAAGGCAGGTGCAGAGTGTAAGGCGGTCACTACTGGGGGAGCTGGAAAGGAGATCGTGGGTCACTCGGGAGAGGTCTCGACCTCCCCAAAGTCGGTTGTGGATAAAGCAAGGCCAAGCTGTACTCTCCGCCAACCCCAATCAACCAGGCCACCCCCCTCCTCCAACAGGTCGGCTCCAATCTCCGGACCCTAAAATCTATGAAGTTACGTTCAAGGCCACGCCCTCCTCTCCCATTAGACCTCTGCCCTCGGTCCACTCCCTATCCCAGGACCCTCCGGGGTTCTACAAAACCCCACTCTCTCACCGTTCACGGTCAGCCTAGCTTCTGCCATACCGCCCCCCAGGCCCGAGCGCCCCGGCTCAGCCCTGCACACATAGTCGCCTGCATCCTGTACTGGTGTTTGAACTCAGGGCTTCACCCTTGGGAGGCGGCGCTCTACCGCTTGAGCCACTCTGCCAGCCCTTTTTTTTTTTCCCAGATAAAGGTTTCTCGAACTATTTGCCAGGGCTGGCCTGGAACTGCGATCCTCCTGATCTCTGCTTCCTGAGCAGCTAGGATTACAGGCATGAGCCACTGGCGACCGGCCTAAGGCTCTGCTTCTTTCTGGAGAGAGGCGATCTTTGTCCTCACCTGTAGCCTGTAACAGGAGGCTGGGCTGTGGCCTGACACAGGAAAGTGACCTCTTCTCCTTCCTGCACAGTCTGAGGCTCAGCAGACAGAGTCACCTTTGGAGGGTCTGTGGGGGTTGGACAACTGTTAGGTGGACAAGACCTAGAACATCTCCATAGTAGGCCAGTCCCCAGTCCCCCACACCAGGAACCTGGGTCTCTAGTTCCCTACTTCCTTTGAGACATGAGTCTTGAGTTTCTGGTTTCCAATTTCCCAGGTACCCCACTGTACCATCCCCTCCTAATCTGTCAGATCCAGGAGTCCAGGCCCTAAACTTCCTCTTTCCCCAGGGATCCCAGGCACATGGTCCCCTCTGTTCTCAGACCCAGGAGTCTGAGCTCCACCCTTGCTTCTTTCCAAGGGCCAAGTGCACTCACACTGCAGGCTCAGTGTGATAGCTGTGTCCCTCCCTGTGGGCAAGGCCTGGCTCCGGGCACGGCAGACCAAGGTGGCTCCATCATCATGGCTGGAAGGGGTCAGGAATAAGGTGCTCTCCACTGACCCAGTGGTCCCCTCCTTCATCAAGGTCTGGAGGTTATGGGTAATAAGAAGAATGATTCATTTATCCCTTAGATACACTTATGCTAACTATGTGTTAGACACCTTACATGTATTATTTAATCTTCACAATTACCCTTATGAGATACACACCACTATTAACCCCACTGTACAGATGAGGAAACTGAGGGACAGAGGTTAAATAACACACTCTACTCAATCAATTAGTAATCATCTGAACCAGGATTTGAACCTAGGTAGTCTGGCCCAACCCTTGAATGCTTGCCTGCTCCTGTCTTCTCTAGATGAGCTTATGATTAGAGTGGACCCTAAGTTTCATTGAATGAACAAGGGCTGGCAAAGAGGTTTGGACTTGACCTGGTAAAATGTGGTCCCATCCAGTCGGATCCCATCTCGGAACCACAGCAGCTCAGGAGTGGGATGGGCATCCCCGCGGCTCCGACAGGTCAGATTTGCAGGAACTCCAGCAACCAGGGACACAGAGGGGCCTCCCAGCACCTGGGGGGCTTCTGGAGGAACTGCATGGTAGGTCTTTAGGTCAGAACTGGATTGTAGGGCCCAGAGACCCTGTCTCAGCTCCAACCAACCACTTCCCCAGGCTCCCAGGGCTCTGATTCTCCCAGCTAGTATTGTCTGTCTTCCTGTGCTCCCAAGGGACACGTGGACTGGGTCCTCACCCAGCACGTGCAGTTGGGCTGGTCGAGATCGGAGGCCTGCTTGCGTAGCCTGACATTCATACGTTGCTTCATCCTCTAGCTCCACAGGCCTAATGTGGAGATCATGCTGCCCACTGGCTGCCTTCCCAGATATCCAGTACCGGGACCATCCTGGAGTCAGGGAAGAAGCGGTCACATTGTAGTTCTGAGCTCCTGGCCTGGCTTTATCCCCAAACATCTCACACCAGAAAATGGTCCCTCAAGTTCTACAGTAAGACACTATTAAGAAGTGTGCACTGGGTCCAGAGAAATTCTAACCCCCTCCCAATGTATCGTCACTGCAAACTTAGGGCCATAGCGTCAGAAAGAAAAGCAAGAAAATTATTATCATAAACCTAGATCAGATATGTCCGTGCTATGATAGGGAACGGAAAAGGGGAGCCCTGGGGACTGACAAGGACCTGGGTATTGTTTACATGGCTGTCTATAATTATTTGGCAATTTGTCCATTTATGTTTATTTTCTACTTTTTTTTTTTTTTTTGGTGGTGGTGCTGGGGTTTGAACTCAGGGCTTCATGCTTGCTAAGCAGGTGCTCTACCACTTGAGCCACTCCACCAGCCTTATTTCTACATTTTTATAATATTTTACATAAAAATAATCCCCAGTCTTTGAGTAACTTCCAAAGAAGCAGTTCAAAAACCAGGTCTGTGAGTGTTCACCTGAACCCACCAATTCCTCAAAGTTGAAAATGTCACAATAAAAACTTCACACACAGGCCTATCCGGCAGCCCCACTCTAGTGCCAGCCCCTCTCGGAGTAGAGGACAGCCTCACCTGGCAGGTCCCTTTCGCCCCCTAGAGCCAGCCCGTCCTTAGTCCACTGCACAAGGCCCCTGTATGCGCCCAGGGCACAGGGCAGACGGGCTTCCTCCCCCAGCAGCACCACCAGGTCCTCCGGTTGTTGCAGGAAATGAGGCGACGGGCCTAGGAGAATGGGGGACAGCGGAACTGAGCTGAAGTTCCTTATTCAGGACCAGGAATCCAGTCCCCAACTCCCTCATCGCTGGGACTTAGAAACCCAAGCTTCCAAGTTCTCCTTAGTGGGACCCAGTAGCCTCAACCCCAGCCTGCGCTCCTCCTCGGGTACCTGCACACCCTCTGCAGCAAAAGAGGAGGAAGAGGAGGAAGGGGACCAGCATCCTGAGTGTGTGTCCCCTAAGGTCCCCGAGACTTCCAGGTGGCACTGGCTTCCCTCCAACTTCTTCTTCGGCAGCACACCTCTCACCACGCTGAATCGGACCCCACTTCGCGCCCCACTCTTCGCCCCAGGCTGGAGTCGTCGCAAGTCAGCCCACCGCAGTCTCCGCCGCTGTCTCTGAAACGCCTGTGGGTTCCGCGCGCTCGGTGTGCGAGACCTCGGGAGGGCGGGGTCCGCCCGCCCGCGCCCCCCGCCCCGCCCCGGAGACACGCCCTCTTCCCATTGAGAAACTCCCGCAGCCCGCGGGGGATGAATGGGGACTCGCAGCAGGGTCGGGTTCCCGCAGCGGGTGGGCGCCCCAGCCCAGTTGGGGTCTGGGAGCCTTAACACCTGGGTCCAAGGAGGGGGTCTTGCCTGGCTTGGACACCTGCGTCCTGCTGGGATTGAGGGGTGGCGGGGGAGGAGGAGGAGGAGAGAAGAGAGTGGAAGAAACTTGCTCAGCCCAGGTCCTGGAGGGACTGCTGAGTGGAAACAGAGCTATAAATGGGAGCCTCTGGGGCCTCGCCAGTTTCCTCGCCTTGGGAAGGCGGGGCTCAGGACTCCCAAAGGCCTCCAGGTCGGGCAGAGGGCACCAGATGCTGGAGGGCCAGTTGGGACCCCTGAGAAAGGAGGGCTCAGCGCCCCACATCTCAAACATCCTCCTCAGAACATCCCTTTTCTGCTGCCTTGATATCGCTGCAAACTGTAGCAAGCCATAAGTCCCAGGAATCCAGTCTTCCAGCCCCTCCTTTCCCGGGACCCCTCCGTCCCGGCCCAGCCCCTCTCCCCACTCTGCAGCCTGGGCCCCTTGGCCGTGGTTGCCCGGCGACGGCTGGGAGACGGCGGCGGCCGGGCTAGGGGCAGGCAGGGAGGCTGGGAACCGCGCAGCTTGTCCTGACGGCTCCATGCAGCCCAGCTGGGACATTCCCACGCTGCGCAGCCGGCCGAGCAGGTGGGAGGGACCCTGAGCATCCTGAACGGAGGTGGGAGGGGGGTCTTGGATCCTGGGGCTGACATTCCTAGACCTGTAGGGATTGAGTGTTCACACTTAGGTCCTCAGTTGTTTCTGAGCTCAGACTCCTGCGTCCCTAAGCGGCAGGCGGTGGTTCAGATCAGACTATGGCCTGAGCTCCCAGTGCCTCCAGGCCAGCAGGCATGGTTCATTTGGGAGAGTCAGAATATCTAGTCTTAAATCTCAGAGTTAGTGGATTTAGTCAGCAGTCTCTCTCCCGCCCCCACACAGGCCCAGGAGGATTTGAAAATTAACAGTGAACATCTGTTCTAAGTCTCTGGGAAGGAGGCAGGAGGATTGGAGACCTGGGTCTGTGGAGAGCAGGGCTGGGGGCCTGAACTGCGTCTGACAGAGGACGGTCCTGGACCCAGACCTCCTCCTGTTCTGGGACCCCCGGCTTCTGTGTTGATATCCAGCGCCTGGATTTTGAAGTGGGATGGACTCTTGAATCTTGGGGAGGAAGTCAGGTGACGAGGCTGTTTTTCCAGACACCTAACATACTTCCCCTTCCTGGATCTCTGGGCCACAGGCATGGAAAAATGGAGAGCCTGAAGTCCCAGGGGCAAACAGAGAAGGAAAACAGCCAAAGTAGAGAGAAGAAGGTTTGTGCTAATTAAAGTTTCCAGCAACCGATCACCCTGGGCCCCAGAGACACCATCTGGTATGGCCCTGTGACAGAACCCCCCGGGTTTGTATCCCACCTTTTCCCCAAGAGATGGGGAGGCAACTGGAAAAGGGAATGTGGGAGGAAGGCAAGGAGTCCACAATGGAGGTGAGGGCGAAGGACCAAAAAGGGGGGATGGCAGGAAGGGGGAGCAAACGAACAGTTGTAATTCCTGCAGGAGATAAGCAGACAGAAGGAGCTTATCCCACGCAAGTGTGCACACTGGGTGGTGAGTGCAGGCCAGCCAGCATATGGTTATAAGATTCAGGGATGAGAATCAGGACTCAGAGCTAGAGAAACTAATGAGAAAGAGGCACAGGCAGAGATTGAGTGGGCATGGATTTAGTGAGCTCCTGGTGAGGTAGCAGGAGCAGTAGAGATAAGAAGAGAGACAGAAAGACCGAAAAACAGAGACACAGACAGAGAGACAGTGAAATTGTTAAAGGCTCACTGAGATTTAACCATTTAATAAAGGGAGGGAGAGAAGGAAAGAGGGAGGGAGGGAGAGAGAGAAAGGAGAAGAAGAGGAGGAGGAGGAGGGAGGGAGAAGGAGGAGGAGAGAGCAAAGAGATGGAGAAAGATGGAAATGGGTGATGGACAGAGGGAGAGAGATATAGAGGAAGGAAGAGAAGGGGCAGATGATGACAGAGTCACAAGGGAGCTCCCATGGCCTGTGCCCAAGGGCACCCATGCTGGGCTCACCACCACACATGATCACTGGCAGACTTGCACCTTGTCTTGCACTCCCACTTCTCTGGCTGCCCCATACAATGCACACTCACACCGAAGGCATTCTTGCATACCTACACATTCCAATTGTCTTTTTTTGAGATACTGGGATTTGAACTCAGGGCCTGGAGCTTGCTAGGCAGGTGCTGTACCACTTGAGCCATGCCCACAGCCTTTTTATTTTTTTTTTGGTTCAGTTATTTTTCAGGTAGGGTCTTGTGTTTTTGCCCAGGGCCACCTTCTGACAGTGATCCTCCTACATATGCCTCCTGCCTAGCTGGGATTACAGATGTGTGCCACTACATCTTGCTTGTTTGTCCAGATGGAGTTTTGCTAACATTTTGCCTGGGCTGGCCTGTGGTTACCTCCCAAGTAGCTGGGATTTCAGTCATGAACCCCTTTGCTTAGCCACTCCACATGCTTTTATAAATCACAATTCACTCATAACCTTCTCCCTACACATGCATCGTCATACACTCACATGTCCACTGTCACATATACACACACACACATAGATAGTTTCCCTCTGTCCTATACTCGCCCAGTGTCACACAATCTGTACACTCTCCAGTTAGATGCCCGAAGTCACTGAGCTTGGAAGTAAGGGACTTGCCAAAGTTGTGCATCTACATTGGGAAGAGCTGGGGGTCATTTCTGCTCCCGACATGGTCCAGCTCATCTGCTTCCCATGTTGAACTGGGAGATGGCCCTGGAACTTGCTCTCCCAGGCCCTTGGGGTCATAGGACTGGGGAGGCACCCAAGAATGTTCCTGGCATGTGCTGACAGGGACTTTCAGGCTCCAGCTGGACCGGGAGGAGCCTGCAGTGCAGAGGCTGGGGCTGGAGAATTTGGGAGGGACCTGGAGGAGGCAGCAGTGTGAGGGTGAGCTCACCCACCACATCAGCCTCTTTGCTCTGTGAGTTCATGGAGCCTGCAGGACTGCAAGTAGCAGGTCCTCTCTGAGGGGCTGCGAGAAGGAGAGCAGGGGCAGGGGGTAGCAGGAGAGAATAAAGAGGAAGAGGCTGTGTGTGTGTGTGTCAGGGTACAGACCAAGACTGAGAGACAGGAACCAGCAGTCCTGTGGTCTCCAGTTGAAGGTGGGGGAGTTGGGGGAGTAAGGTGGGGGACTCAGAGATGTCTAGAGAGAAAGAGACTTAGGGAGGCAGAAAAGGAAACACAGAAACAAACTAGGAGAGAGAAACAGAGACAAAGAGACACTTTAGGGAGAGAGGAAAACAGAGAGAGAAAGTGAGAGAGTCAGAAAAAGAGAGACAAAAAGAAAACTAAGAGACAGACACAGAGAGAGAGACCCAGAGAAAGACAGTGGCACAGGCAGGTGGCAGGTGGTGGGCACTGTGGGAACCAGTCAGAAGACCTAGGATGGCCCTGAGGTCCCCCACCCAGGCTCGCCTGCTGCTCGTGGGGCTGCTAACCACAGGTGAGTGGGTTCTTAGACTTGGGCCCATGTGACCCTCCTTTCTCATCTTTGTTGCCTAGATTCTCTGCCCTTTCCTGATGACCCCTTGTATCCCCAGGCCTGGCCCAGTCTCCAACTCCAGCCTCAGTCCCTCGGGGCTTCTGGGCTTTGTCTGAAAACCTGACAGCTGTGGAGGGAGCCACAGTGGAGCTGCGGTGTGGGGTCAGAGCCCCTGGCAGTGTGGTACAGTGGGCCAAGGACGGGCTGCTTCTAGGCCCTGACCCTCGGATTCCAGGCTTCCCAAGGTACCGCATGGAAGGAGATCCTGCCAGAGGTGAGAGGTCAGAGTCTGAGACCCCAGTCCACTTCTAGAGGCTGTGGCCTTGACCTTGGTCTTCCCCACAGGTGAATTCCACCTCCACATTGAAGCATGTGACCTCAGTGATGACGCCGAGTATGAGTGCCAAGTTGGCCGTTCGGAGTTGGGCCCTGAGCTCGTATCTCCCAGAGTGATCCTCTCCATCCTGGGTATGAGTGAGAGACCCCCGCCCCAGAAGCCTCCAGTCTGGGCTTCTGGCCTTCTCCCTCCCCAGGCCCAGGAGTCCAGGCTTCCAGCCTGTTCTCTCTCAGACCCTGGGTATAGTGACTCCTTTCCTAAGCAAAGGAAACCTGGTCCAAACCCTCTCATCCTTGGTGGTGGAGGATAAGCCCTGACCCTCTCCCACCAGTTCCCCCAAAGACACTACAGCTGACTCCTGACGCGGGAGGTACAGTCACCTGGATAGCTGGGCAAGAGTATGTGGTCACCTGTGTGTCTGGGGATGCAAAGCCAGCACCTGATATCACCTTTCTCCAGAGTGAGTGTGGGTCAATTAGTGGCAGCAGCACACTCCTAGTGTGGGGATGGAGTGTGTGCCTACTCAGTGCCCTTCTAGGGGTCAAAAAATGTGTCATCCCTGAGACAGGGACCCAGGAACAGACATGGGAGATGCTGCGGCTAGCATGGGACTTGTTAGATGGGAGGGGACATGGGGGGGCATCCAGGAGATCACCAGACTGCTGGCCTGGGGCCCAAGAGAGGCTGAATCTCAAGTTGTATGTGGACAGTGATGGTGGGGGGCAGGTGAGAAGCTATAGATGGGGTGCAGGATAAAATGATACAGGATGCCAGGCACCAGTGGCTCACGCCTGAAATCCTAGCTACTCAGAAGGCAGAAGGCAAAGATCAGGAGGATTGCAGTTCAAAGCCAGCCCAGCCAGATCTTATCTTGAAAATACCCAACACAAAAAGAGCTGGTGGAGTGGGTTCAAGTGGTAGAGCACTTGCCTAGCTAATGTAAGGCCCGGAGTTCAAACCCCAGTACCACCGAAAGAAACAAGGATGTGAGGAGAAGGGAGAAGCCCAGTTCACAGCCTTAAAGACTTGGGTGTTCAGAGAGTCCTGAATGTGTGGAGGGGACAGAGCTGGTACTCCAGGGTCTTTTCCTCCAGAACAAGGAGGGAAGGGGCAGTGGGTTCACCCTGAGGGCTTCCAGGCCATGCTCCCCACAATCTACTTTCGGGGGAACCTAGCACACCTACAGCCCTCTTCTTGCCTCAAGGTGGACATACAATATCCCATGTCTCTGCTAACGTGAATGAAGGGTCCCAGGAGAAACTCTTCACCACAGAAGCCACTGTCAGGTGTGCGAGTTGGGAGTGCCTCCTATCCTGATCCCCAGATATCCCCATGAGAGCCCCATATCCCAGGGACTGAAGCATGGAAACTTGGGTTGGGTGTGGACATCTGCGACCCAATTCTTCACTTGGAACCTGACACATGGCAAGTCCAGTTCCAGGGTATTGAGCTCAAAGATTGGGCCTTCTGGGCCTCCAATTCCCATCCCAAATCTCTCCTAAAGGACTCCAGATCTTAGAGGAAATCAGGTGTGGGGACCTGGGATCCCCACTCTTCACTCTGACTCCCTAAACTTCAGGTGATGACTCTGACTTCAGAATTCCAACTTCCTATCCCAGGGTGACACCCCAGAGCTCTGACAATGGGCAGTTACTAGTCTGTGAAGGGTCCAGCCCAGCTTTGGACACCTCCATCAAAGCTTCAGTCGCCATGAATGTCCTGTGTACGTAGAGAACTGGACCAGCTGAGAATGGGGAGCATGATTTGGGGGCTCTGGAGGTGCTCATGGGGATTTTGGAAAATTCAGACAGTCAAAGGACAAACGGGGGAATTCAAAGGCAGGTTATGGGGTAAAAAGAATGGAAGGGCTCCCCAGGATCACTGAGTGACTTGCTGCTCCATAGTTCCCCCAGGACCCCCTGTCATCGAATGGCCAGGCCTGGATGAGGGCCATGTGAAGGCAGGACAGAACTTGGAGCTGCCATGCGTGGCCCAAGGGGGAAACCCACCAGCCACACTGCAGTGGCTGAAGGTGAACGCAGAGGTGGGCGTGGGGGTTGGGGGGAGGGCAGGGGACAGAAGCTGGCTCTGAGCTGGTCTGGGATTGTCCCTGTCTCCAGAATGGCCAGCCTGTGTCCACAGCATGGGGCACGGAACATGCCCAGATGGTGGCCCGAAGTGTGCTGGTGATGATTGTGCAGCCGGAAGACCAAGGGGCTCAGCTCAGCTGTGAAGCCTACAACAGTGTATCCACAGGGACCCAGACACGAAGCATCACACTGCAGGTCACCTGTGAGTCAGGGTGCCAGCTTCCCCTCTGTCAGCCCACATCTCAGAGAACTATCCACCTGGGTCTCCAAATTATGCCTCCCCAAAGACTTCATCATCTTTTCCCTGTCCATCTGGGCAGATCTGTGAGGACTCCAGCCCCACCTGTGTCTCTCTTCTGTCCATCTGTACTACAGTTCCCCCCAGTGCCATTAGGATCCTGGGATCTGCATCACAGTCTGAGAACAAGAATGTGACACTCTGTTGCATCACCAAGTCCAGTCGCCCTCCGGTCCTGCTGCGATGGTGGCTGGGCGGGAGGCAGCTGTTGCCCACAGAGGAGACGGTCATGGATGTGAGTAGCCTCAGGGGACTGAGGGTGTGACTGTTGGAGCTGGGAGAGGAGAATCTGACAGCCCAGATGTTCCTGGCCTTGAGGAGTCTGGTCTGTCCAGACAAAGGAGGGGGTGGAGACTGCACACATCTTTCTAGGAGTCTGGAGTTGACCCAGGCCTCTGGAATCATGAGTGGGCATGCCTCAGTCCCCAAGCTTGATGCTCCCTTTTTGCTAGGGCCTGCATGGTGGTCACATCTCCATGTCCAATTTGACCTTCCTGGTGCGGCGGGAAGACAATGGCCTGACCCTCACCTGTGAGGCCTTCAGTGACGCCTTCAGCAAAGAGACCTTCAAGAAATCGCTAACCTTGAATGTGAAATGTGAGTCCTACCCTGGCCTAGGAATCTCCAGGCTTCAGAGACCCCACCGTGAGGCCCAACCCAGACAGAGTAGTTACCCTTACCCCCTCTCCCCTCAGATCCTGCCCAGAAGCTGTGGATCGAGGGACCCCCAGAGGGGCAGCACCTCCGGACTGGGACCCGGGTGAGGCTGATGTGTTTGGCCATCGGGGGCAACCCAGACCCCTCCCTTACCTGGTACAAGGTGGGTGTCAAGTAGGGCTGTGGGATGGCCAGAAATGTGGGGACAACAAAGAGGTCCCTTTCTTTTTAGAATTTCGGGAAATATTGAAAAAAAAGAAAACAACCCTAAATTTCTTGAAAAATACTGCAGAGTCTGAATTTCGGCAGAGAACTGAAAGAAAAAAAAAAAACACCACAAATACCATGATAATTAATGGAATTCTAGGAAAATTCTGAGAATTCTGGGAAAACAACTCTAGGATAAAAAAGGAATTCTGGATCAAGATTGGGAACTCAAGAGATAAGGAAATTAGTTCCATTGAAATTAAAAGAAATTCTGGTGAAAAATCTCAGAATTCATGGGAAATGTCAGGAATTTTAGGTGAAGACTTGGAATTCCATGGGCTGACGGAGTGACTCAAGTGGTAGAGTGCCTGCCTAGCAAGCTTGTGTTCCTGAGTCCAAACCCTAGTACCACAAAAAAAAAAAGGACTTGGAATTCCAGGAAAAAAAAAATACAGTGATATTTTGGGCAGAGGCTACATATTTTGGGAAAAGACTAGTAATTCCCCGGAATAAAGAACATCTATTAATATTAAATCTAAATCTTGAGATTAATAGTTAAGAGAAATCAAATTCCACTAAAATGAAAGGACATTCTGACAGAATTCTGGGAAAATCCTGGGAAGTTAGGGAGCTACAAGACATCCTAGGGGAAAATACTGGGAATCATAGAGTGGCGATGGAATTCCATTGTCATTGGATGGAAAAAAAAAAAGAAAAGATTAGGCTAGCAAGGGAATGTTGGGTAAGGATTCAGAAATCTAAGGAAAGACACTGGAGTTAAGGGATAGGTCAAAGGAAATCTTTGTGAAAAGTGGATATTTTAAGAAAAAGAACTGAGAATAGGAAAAAAAAAAAAAACCGAAAGGATTCTATGGAAGGTTTGGGAATTTCAAGGGACTCTCCTGGCACTTAGTGTTTGATAAATATTGCAGTTATGTATTTGGGGAAGTAAGATTTTTTTTTTTTTGGCGGTACTGAGGTTCGAACTCAGGGCCTCAGGTCCCTCTAGGCAGGTACTCTACTACTTGAGCCACTCACCAACTCTTTTTTTCTATTGGGTATTTTCGAGATGGGGTGTTGTGAACTATTTAAACCGGTTGGCTTTGAACCGCGCGGATGCTCCTGATCTCTCCCTTCTGAGTTGCTAGGATTACAGGCGTGGGGCACCAGTGCCCAGCTGCGCCAAGGGTTCTTAATTCTAGTTCCCACTCTTTTACCCCAGCGGGGTGCCTGCTGATGGGGGTGCCTTTCCCTTATTATGCAGAGGCCCTGTGCTGGGGGCGATCAACCCCAACGCGGGTATCTCAGGACTGGATGGGGAGGACCAGGGTCCCCCCACTGTCCTCCAACCAGCTCTGATCTTCAGGACTCGCGTATCGTGACCGAGTCGCGACAGCCCCAGGAATCACGGGTGCAGCTGGGAAGTCTGGAGAAGTCGGGAAGCACCTTCTCCCGGGAGCTGGTGCTGGTCACAGGTCCGTCGGACAACCAGGCCAAGTTCTCGTGCAAGGCTGGCCAGCTCAGCGCGTCCACGAAGCTCGCAGTGCAGTGTGAGGGCGCGCGCGGCCGGGGGTGGGGGTGACGGACGCGGGGTGCAGATCCATGGAGCGGGGCGGGCGCGTGCGTGCTGTGAAGTCAGTTCTGGGTGAGACCCGACAGGGACCCGAAGTTGAGCGGGCCCTGGGGTCAAGATAGGGCGACTCCTCAACCTTGAGCCTCGCTCCTCCAACCCGCTCCCTAAGTTCCCCCAACCAACCTGACGATCGTGGCCAACACGTCGGCGCTGCGCCCCGGGGACGCCCTAAACTTGACGTGCGTCAGCGTTAGCAGCAACCCTCCGGTCAACCTGTCCTGGGACAAGGAGGGGGAGAGGTGAGCTCGAGAGGCCCCGCCCCCGGGCCTGGCCCCGCCACTTCCGGCCGTTTCTCACCCCCGACCCTGCAGCCGCAGTCCTGCTCTGTAGCTCGCGTTGGTCTCGGGTCCCAAGTCTGCACCAGTCCTGGCCTGACTGACTCCCTGCCGGGTCACAGGCTGGAAGACGTGGCCGCACCGCCTCAGAGCGCCCCGTTCAAAGGCTCGGCTGCGTCCCGGAGCGTTTTTCTTCGGGTGTCATCCCGCGACCACAGCCACCGGGTGACCTGTCGCGCCCACAGCCCCGAGCTCCGCGAAACCGTGAGCGCCTCCTATCGCCTCAACGTGCTATGTATGTGCGCCGGCCTGGAACCCTGCTTGATCCCCTCCTGACCCTAAAACTAGTCTTCATCCTGACACTGTCCTCGACCCGACCTTTATCTGCCCGGCCTTTGATCACCTGACACCCTCCTGACACCTCTCTCCATTCTTACACTTGACCATGGCCTCTATCCTTTTCAGAAGCCGAATCTTAACTTCTATCCTGAGCCTTGCCCCTGACCTCAGCTCTGACATTACCTGTCCACAACCTTAGTTCTTCTAGTCATGACCCTGACTTTAACCCTTGAACTTGTGCCTGATCTCAACTCTAACCCTCACCCCGACCTTACCAACACTCTTGACTTCCTGGGGCGCCCCCTCCGAAGACCCTCCAGAGTTTCTGGGGGAGCAGGTGCTCGTGGTGACAGCGGTGGAGCAGGGCGAGGCACTGCTGCCTGTGTTGGTGTCTGCTAACCCCGCCCCCGAGGCCTTCAACTGGACCTTCCGTGGCTATCGCCTCAGTCCAGGTGCGAGAAGTAAGCACGGAAAGGGGTGCAGGTCCCCGAGGATGGGAGGGCCTGACAGGCCCCTTACCCTTTCCCTTCCCAGCTGGTGGCCCCCGGCATCGCATCCTGTCGGTGGGGCTCTGCAGCTGTGGAATGTGACCCGTGCGGATGATGGCTTCTATCAGCTGCATTGCCAGAACTCGGAGGGTACTGCTGAAGCCCTTGTGCGGCTGGACGTGCATTGTGAGCCCCCTCAGCACTCGGGGCTCTGCAAGCCCTGTCTACCAAGTAAACCACACCCACCCAAGGAACTTTGCCCATTTGGAGTCTCCTCTGTGGAAGCTCTGCCCACCCAGGAATTACCACTAATCCTAGAATCTTCCAGTTTTGGAACCCCTGCTCACTAGAGCAACCCAATGTGGAATCTCTGTCCAAATATAGGCAGAGATCAGGCTGGGCATGTTTGTGCATGCCTGTAGTCTCAGCTACTGAGGGGAGGTTGGGAGGATGGTGGTTCCAAGCCAGTACAGAGCAAAAAGTTAGCAAGAGCCCATCTCAATCAGTAAGACAGGTGTGTTAGTACACACCTGGGATCTCAACTAGAGGGAGGCCAGAGGTAGGAGGCTCACAGTCCCAGGCAGCCACTGGCAAAAACAGGAGAGCCTATCTGAAAAATAACTAAAGCATAAAGGGCTAGGAGGCTACTCAGTCCACTGTGGAAGCCCCACCCCCACAGGACCTACTCTAAACATCACAGATGCTCCCACCATCCGTGCCCTCCAAGACCCCACTGAAGTGAATGTTGGGGGTTCCGTGGACATAGTCTGCACTGCTGATGCCAACCCCATCCTCCCAGAGATGTTCAGCTGGGAGAGGCTGGTAAGGAAACAGCCTCCAGTGAACGGAGGTGGGGCCGGGGGATGTGGTTTTCTGATTGTGAACAATTTGGGCGTGGGGGTCACACCTTTGTGGTCCTGTGTAACTATGTGTAACTGTTGAATGGATGAGTGGATAATTGATGGAGAGATAAATGGATGAATGGATGGGAAGGTAGATTTTTTTTGTTGTTTTTTGAGATAGTGTCTTGCTATGTAGTCTAGCCTGGCCTGGAACTTGCTATGTAGCCTGGTTTGGCCTTGAACTCAAGATCCTTTTGCCTCTGCCTCCCAAGTACTGGAATTACAGCACCACTACAACCAGCCTGATAGATATTTTTTTTAGTTGTGCCCTGGGGATTGAACCCAGGGAGTTGGGCATGTGAGACATACACTTGACCGCTGAGCTGCATCCACAATCTGTAGACAGTTCAATGAATGGCTGGATTGGTAGATGGACTGATAAATAGAAGAGTGGTAGGACCAATTAGACAAATGTTGCATGATGGATGAATGGGCGAATTGGATAAATGGTTGGATGAATGACAGGAGAGATTTCACTGTTAGTAGGTTTGTGGAGGATGATTATGGCTGGGAGAATGAGGCTACAGGTGGGAGGGACACAGCTTGGGGATGATGGATTTGGGGCCAGATTCCAAACCAAATCCTGCATCTTGGTTCTCCAGGGGGAAGAGGAAGAGGAGGACGATAGCATGGATGACATAGAGAAGATGTCAAAAGGATCCACGGGGCGTCTACGGATTCACCATGCCAAACTGGCCCAGGCTGGTGCCTACCAGTGCATTGTGGACAATGGGGTGGCACCTCCAGCCCGAGGGCTGGTCCGCCTTGTTGTCCGATGTGGGTAACACACAAACAGATGCATGCATTTATGAGTGTGATGGGGTGAATGGGTAGAGAGCCGTGAGGGTCACTGATGGACAGAGGAGCGGGTAGATGGATGGATGGGTGGAAGGCCTGTCACTAAGCCCCCAGCTCTTGTACCCTCTACATGCCTCATGGTGACCCACCACCTGGCCTAGATGCCCCCCAGGTGGAACATCCCACCCACCTGTCTAAAGTGGCTGCCTCTGGAGACAGCACCAGTTCCGCCACTCTGCACTGCCGTGCCCGAGGTGTCCCCAACATCGTCTTTACTTGGACCAAAAACGGGGACCCTCTGGATCTCCAGGATCCCAGGTGAACCCGGGCACAGCCAGCCAGCACTCCAGCCTCAACTGCGGTTCCCCAGCCCCAGCTCCCCTCCCTGAGTGCCTGCCCCACCTTCTCTCCAGGTACACAGAGCACACGTACCACCAGGGCGGGGTCCACAGCAGTCTCCTGACCGTTGCCAATGTGTCTGCAGCTCAGGACTACGCACTCTTCACATGCACTGCCACCAACCCCCTCGGCTCGGACCACACCAACATTCAGCTCGTCAGCATTAGTATGAAGGGGGGGACTGGGAGGGCTCCAGGGGTCTCCTTGGGTCAACTCTGCTATCTCTGATTGGTCCAGTCTGACAGAGTTCCTGACACCTGAGGGAAGTTTCTGAGTGACAATGGGGTTTCTAACTGCCTTGAAAATCCTCCTGAGAAACTGGATCTTTTTTTTTTTCTTTGAGTTCAAACCCTTAGTTTGAACTCAGGGCCTCATGCTTGCCAGGCAGGCACTGTACCACTTGAGCCACTCCACCAGCCATTTTTTGTGATAGGTTTTTCCAAAGAGGGTCTCTCAAACTATTTACCCAGTGAAGGCTTCAAATGGCGATCCTCCTGATCTCTGCCTTCTGAATAGCTAGGATTACAGGCGTGAGCCACTGGTGCCCAGCTGGAGACTGGATCTTCAGAGAAACCCACAACAAAGACCAAAAATATCTTCTGTAGCCATATGTGGTCCAGACTGGCCTCAACTCTCCATCCTCCTGCCTCAGCCTCTAGAGTGCTGGGGTTACAGGCCTGTGCCAACACGTCCACATTGTTTGTTTATTCAAAGGTTCTTTATAGTGGTCTGTTAGAATCCCCACAGGAAATAAAATTCTTTCTTTTCAGAACAGTTGTGTGGAAATACTAGAGTTAAATTTCATTGGCTCCACTTGAATCCCAGCTCATCTCTGAACCAATCAGCTGGTCAGGGGAAGCAACACTCTGATTGGTCAGGCCTGGTCCCAGGTTTAGAAGGAATGGACTCACTTCAATCAGAAGTATGTGGCCTGAGAGTGTAGTAGTGTGATTCTCCAAAGGAAATTTAGGGTGTTGTCACTAGAAGAAATGAGGGGATTAAATAACTATGACGTCAGCACAAAAAAATCTACTACAAGAATCGTATGTATGCATGTGTGATTATATATGATATGTATTATTTGCATAGTCACCTAGTCACTAAAATTTACTTGTAATCATCACACCAATATTCATGGTGCTTTTGTGGTCATTTGAAGACATGTACCGAGGGATGAAAAATTTGAGTCACTAAGTGGGTGCGTTCCTAGCTGACACCGAAGGCAGCTGACACTGTCTTTTTGTTCCAGCTGTCATACTGTAAATAAGTGTCCTTTTAGAGGCTTATTTAGTGTGGTGCTTCTTTTTTGTGTTTTGTTGCTGTATTTGTTATTTAAAATGGTCCCCAAGCACAAAGCTGAAATATTGTCTAGTGTTCTAGCACGAGAAGACTGTGACTGCTTTTGGGAAAAATACAGGTGTTGGATGAGCTTTGTTGAGGCAGGAATGATGTGTGTTCAATGTTAGCGAATCGACAATACGTATTAAACAAGGTGTCTGCAATGGAAGTGGACATAACACCAGATGGTGCATTGATTGGCTGATGGAAATGCTGTGATGAGAGGCCCACGGGAGCCTAAGGCTGCATTTCACTGAGAAGCAGCAGTTTGGTATTTTCTAACTCCCTCTCACAGTGACCTTACTGAGCAGAATGAACATGAATGACAAGAATCAAATGTGTATTTTAGATCATCCATTGGAAAAACCTGGGAGGAATGTTCTAGAATCCTTTTGTATCTTCTATTTCCCCATTATTTTTTTCCACAGGCCGCCCTGACCCCCCAGTGGGATTGAAGGTGGTCAGCATGACCCCCCACTCGGTGGGGCTGGAGTGGAAGCCTGGCTTTGATGGTGGCTTGCCTCAGAGGTTCAGAATCAGGTGAGTCCCTGTCCCCATAAGACGGGTGTGGCAGACAGTGGTGCTGGGGCACTCTGCTGAACTGACTGTCCTCCCTCTCACGCAGGTATGAGGCCCTGGAGACTCCAGGGTTTCTCTATGTGGATGTCCTGCCACCCCAGGCCACCACCTTCACGCTGACTGGGCTGCAGCCGTCTACAAGATACAGGGTCTGGCTGCTGGCCAGCAATGCCCTGGGGGACAGTGGGTTAGCTGAAAAGGGGATCCAGCTCTCTATCACTACCCCAGGTGGGGACACAGTCTTAGGCAGCCTGGAAAGATCCTCTGAGAACTTACAGTGTAGTATAGTGAAATAGACACTATTATTTTCCCCTTTTAGAGATAAAGCAACTGAGACCAAAGAAGTTAAGCAAATTGACCAAGGCCACACAGCTAGGAAGAGACACAAGTGAGATTGAAACCCAGACAGATGAGTTCCAGAAACCAGCTTTTAGTCTGTCTGGTTGTGTTACTGACCAAGGGGAACTAGAAAATAGTTTGTATTGAATGAAAATAAAAACATATAAAATTTGGAGTTCAGATGAAGCTGTGCTTAGAAGAAAATGTATGTTTATATTAGATTAAAAACCCAGTAAGACTTAAAGTGGACATTCTAAGTTTCCATCTTAAGAAACTAGAGAAAAGCCTGGTGCCAGTAGCTCACACCTGTAATCCTAGCTACTCACAAGACAGAGATTAGGAGGATCCTGGTTCAAAGCCTGCCCTCAGCAAATAGTTCCAGAGACCCTATCTCGAAAAAAAACCTATCACAAAAAAAAAAAAAAAAAAAGGGGGAGTGGTGGAGTGGCTCAAGGTGTAGGCCCTGAGTTCAAACTCCAGTACCACAAAATAAAGGAACTAGAAAAAGCACAAATTAAGCCCAAAGCAAAGAAGAAAATAATAAAGAGTAGAAGCTAATGTATAGAAAATCAAGTGGAGAAATGAACGAACAGCAAGTTAGTTCTCTGATTAGGACAAGGGAGAGAAGACACAACTTATCAGCAAGGAAAGAAGGGACACTTATGGACTCCACAGGCACGCAGCGGAGTCTTAGAAACCATTATGAATGACCTTAGGTCAGTAGATTCAGTAACTTTTATTGAAATGGTCAAGTTCCTTGAAAATGACCAGGCAGTATATTGTAATTCCTGCAAGGACTGTTGAATAGTGGTTAATTCCACAGGGCCTGGTTCGGAGGAGCCAGGATTCTAGTCCACCCCTCCTACTACCACTTCCTAGTTTTGTGGCCTTTAGGCTGTGCCTCAGTTTCTAAAGCTAACATTTGTCACACACCTTTCTGCCTCAGTTTCTGGAAGTGAGTCTGATCTCAGATACTTGTGAGGATTCACTGAGTTAATGTATCTGCAGGGCTTTTAGAAAGGCCCAGCACAGAGTGTCTAACTGTTAAATGCCTCTGCTTGCCTCTTTTTACTTTGCCCATGAAAGCTTCCTTACAGCCCCAACATTGTAGGTTGCTCACACTTGTAATCCCAGCACTTGGGAGGGGGTGGCTAATTGAAGCAGGAAGATCATGAGTTCAAGGCCAGCCAAGGCTACATAGTGGGTGCTGGTGGCTCACGCCTGTAATCCTAGCTACTCAGGAGGCAGGGATCAGGAGGATTGTGATTTGAAACAAGCCCAGGCAAGTAGTTCAATATGATTATTACTAAAATTAAATATGAATTATCATTTAACATATTGCCAGTATCATAGGCAGTTTCCAGGTATTAGTTACTAATTTTTGTGGTAATGGGAATTGAACTTGTTAAGCAAGTGCTCCACCATCTGAGCCCTACAGGTATCTTTGAAATATCCCTAAGAAGCCTCGTCTCAATTCCCATGAGTTTCAAAGCGAGCTGAAAAGCTTCAGAGGCTGAGAAATCCTTAAGGTTTAGTATTCATTTGCAGTCTGTCACCCCGCAGGCTTGGACCAGCCTTCTGGAGAACCTGATCTCCAGCTGCCCACAGAGGAGCCAGCAGGCAAGTCCTCAGTTCCCTGAGCTGCCCCTCCCCTACCTTCTGCTCTCTGATACACCTCCTGCCCCTGTGTTTGCAGCTGCTTAAGACTCCCGTTTGCATCCTTAGCTCTTCCTCTTGCCTGGGGACATCAGTTTTCTTTCTTCTTAATTTGGTTTAATTCTAAAAGGATTAGCTGACTCTGTTAGGCTGTCAGTTACCTTTAGCGACATATCAAACCACCCCAACATGGGCGCTTATCATCAGCACACACTGTTTCCCACAATTCTGAGTCTGGTGGAACAGGTCTAGTTCTAGTCTGGGTTGGTTTGAATCATCCCTACGGTCAGCTGGCAGCCGGGCTGGGCCTGGTTGGCCTAGGATGCCCTCCTCCTCGTGTGTGTGTCTAACAGTAATGGCTCTTGGTTGGGACAATGCTGACAATTGGATTGTGACTATCTCTCCTTGGTGTATTCACATAGAGGTGGTCACAGGGGTCCAAGAACAGCAAGACAGGGTAAGCTCTAATTTACCAGCACTTTTCAATTTTCTGATTCTGCCTTATTTGCTGTTGTCCCATTGGCCAAAGCAAGTCACGTGGGTCAATGTAGAGCCAGCATGGAAGGGGCTTTGTCAAGAGCATGGGATATGAGGTGACCCATTGTGACCATTTGGCCATCAATCCTCTTCAGAGCAAAGGTTGCAAGTGACAGAAATACAACTATTGCCAGCACTAAAAATTCCAAGTATGGCTGCATTTACATGCTCAATATGTCCAAAAATGTTAGAGAGACACCACCTCAGTTAATAAGCCAGATATGGTGGTGCCTACCTATGATCCCAGATAAACAGGAGATGTAAGCAGGATTGAGGTCCAGGGTTGGTCCTGGCTAAAACATGGCACTCTACCTAAAAAGTAATGAAAGCAAAAAAGGGCTGGAGGCATAGATCAAGTGGTAGAGCACTTGCCTAGCAAGCACAAGGCCCTGAGTTCAAACTCCAGTACCCCCTCACCCCCCAAAAAAAGATGTACATTGGGGATTTCTTTCTCACACTCTCTCAACTTCACCTTCACTTGCTTCACCTTCACGTGAGGCCTTCCCAGGGTTTTCCATCAAGAGAGCAAAGAAGCCCTCACACCCTTCCAGGTTTTGTCCCACTCCTTAGCAGCCTGTGTATGCATCCTACTGTCAGTCTCTGAACCAATGGAGAGGGGGATGGGTGATCTGGTGGGCCAGACTGGGCCCTGCGTCCACCATGGAGCCCTGCCTGGGCTCCCCAAGGGAGCACAAGTGCCATTAGCAGAAGATGGCACTTAGATGCCTTCTTAGAGGAAATCAGTCTTGTCCTGAGGGACACAGCAACCTGATATGGCTAGGACGGAAAGTAGTAGAAAAGTCATTTGGGAAGGACTTTCACAGGGTGACCAGGAGTCTGCTTGAGATATTGAAGACAGGATATTGAAGACAGACACTTGACTATTCCAAGGCTCAGAGGTGTGACTGCTTTTATAATTCTGGAAATGGCTGGTGACTTATTTGTATGGCCCAAAGAGCCACTCTTTGGCTTTATGGCTGTGAGCAAGGCTGGAGTGGGAAGAAGACTCAAATGTCCAGCTAAGTAACTCAGGCTCCCCCAGTCCCGAGACAGGGCTCAGGGGAGGACAGGACCATGAACTTGAGAAAGGAGTCACCTGTCCTTGGGTGGCCAGGACGGGTGAGGACACAGACCCCTACACATTTGCTTCTTTGACCTTGGGAAAGGGCATTGCTAGGCCAGGGACAGGCTTTCTCAGAGAGCCCTGCTCCTGGCCTACTGCCCGCTGTTTCAGGCTTACTGAGGAACGTCTTTTTCTCCTAGAGCCATCGAGGTTGCCTATGCTGCCTGTGCTGTTTGCAGTTGGGGGTCTTCTGCTGCTTTCCAATGCCTCCTGTGTTGGAGGGTTCTTCTGGCGGCAGAGACTGAGGCGGCTGGCAGAGGGTGAGGAGACACCTAAGGTGGAGACCCAGTGGTGATGGGGACCCTGGGGTGGCTGCCTATTGAAGGTCAGCCTAGGGCCAGGTGGGTTTGAATGGGAGTCTCTGACCACCACCCCTTGCCTTCCCCTGTTTCTGTCAGGTGTCTCAGAGAAGACAGAGACAGGGTAAGGGGGATGTTTTCCTGTAATGAAGGCTTTGAGGGAGGAGGTTTGGGGTGATGGTGGCAGAAGGTCAACACCCAACTTTCATACACACTTCCCTCCTGGAAGGTCGGAGGAGGACCGAGTCAGGAATGAGTATGAGGAGAGCCAGAGGACTGGGGACCGGGACACTCAAAGCTCCACGGTGAGTGGGGGTGACTGGGACAGCCCCACTGAGAGGGTGAGAAACTCCACCATTAGTGTCGGCTTAATCATTGCCCTTTGCTGGAACTACGGAGTCCAAGGAAGGAAAGGACTTGGCGTGTTTTTTGTGTGTGCAACAGGTTAGCATAACACAAGGAGAGCCATATTACCATCCCATGAGGGACTTCAGCCCTCAGCTGCCCCCCATGCTGGAGGAGGTGTCCTATTCCCGAGGTGAGTTGGAACCACACCAGGGATCCTCACCTTCTGAGGTACCCCTGGCTGAGTGCCCTGATCATCCTTCTTTCCATGCCAACTTCAGCCTGCACAGATTTTGAGGATGAGGACATGGCCTTTCCTGGACACCTGTATGATGAGGTGGAGAGAGCACATGACCCACCTGGGACCTGGCAACCCCTCTATGATGAAGTACAGATGGTGAGATTTGTGTCACCAGCCCACCTAGGCTGGACACCCACCTCCTACTGCTTGTATCAGTTAGGATAAGTGAGCTGCTGTGATAAAAAGGCCATAATACAGTGGCCTAAAAAAGAGACCCTATAGTCAGGTGTCATGGTACATGCCTGTAATCCCAGAACTTTCAAGGCTGAGGCAGGAGGATCACAAGTTTGAGGCCAGCCTGGGCTGCATAGTGAGACTGTCACAAATAAGCAAACAGACAAATAAGGAAACACAGTCTGTTTCTTTCTCGCTTAACTGTCAGACACAAGCCCTGTTGTGCATGGTTATTCAGAATCCAAAGTTCTTTCTATTGTGTTGCTCTGCCATCTCTTGGCACACCCATAGTCCAGGTCCGTATGGATGGGCCATCTGGGGGTATCAGCTGGAAGGAAAGGGAGAAGAGAGTAAGGTGGAGGCATAGCCCTATTTTGTGGTTTTCAGGTAGGTTTCCATATCACTTCTGCTCTCTTCTCATTGGTCAGAACATAGTCACATAGCTTGCCTGGGTGCAAAGGAGGCTGGGAAATGTAGTCTACCTGGCAGCTACCTGCCTCACTACATGTTGCTGTGGCAGAAGGAAGGGAGGCACTTCTTTGGATAATTAGCCATCTCCACCACACTGGTTAAGCAGCTAGACAGAAAGAATTTTCCCCACAGTTGAAAAGTTAAGAGATAGAATTGTCTTCAGGAACAACCAGGTCCTGAATTCCCTCCCCAGACTTTTCCTAACAAATCCAGGTTTCTAACCTAGAAAGACAATGTCTCTTTTCTCATAGCTCCAAACGCCCAGCGCTACACTTACTGGTCTAGCTGTGGTCACATACTCAGGCTGAGCCAACTGTCAGTGGTTGTCAGGGGATAGAATATGCAGAGCGAATTGGCCAGGTCAAGGCGCACCAATGGAATTGGGGAGTAGAGGCCAATCCTACTCAATTCACAGGATGGAGAGTGGGAGAGGACAGAGAACCCAGAGGGAAGTGACAATGGTGGCTGGCAGGTGAAAACGACGCACAAACATCTTGACTTTCTATCCATAGCCCCACATTAAGGGAGGTGGGACAGAAATTCTGGCCTTAATTTTTTTTTTTTTTTTGGTGATACTAGGGATTTAATTCAGGGGCACTTGTGCTCTATCTCTTGAACCACACCCCCAGCCATTTTCTTTCTTTCTTTCTTCTTTCATTTGTTCTTTTTTGGTACTGGGATTTCAATTCAGGGCCTCCACCTTGAGCCAGTCCACCACCCCTTTTTTTGTGATGGGTTTTTTTTTTTCAAGATAGGGTCTCATGAACTATTTGCCTGGGCTGACTTCGAACTGCAGTCCTCCTGATCTCTGCCTCCTGAGTGGCAAGGATTACAGGTGTGAGCCACTGGCACCCAGCTTACTTATTTTTCAGATAACTTATTGTACTTTTTCCCAGACTGGACCTTGCTTCTCCTACTGCCACCTCCCAAGTAACTGGGATTTCACCACAATTCTCATTTTGTTTTGTTTTTTGTTTTGTGGAACTTGGATTTGAACTCAGGGCTAAACAGGTGCTCTACGACTTGAGCCATGCTTCCAGTCCAACCCAGCTTGTTTTGGGGTTTTTTTTTTTTTTTGGTACTGGATTTGAACTTAGGACCTCATGCTTGCTAGGCAGGTGTTCTTACTGCTTGAGCCACTCCACCAGCCCTGGGTTGGGTATTTTTCGAGATAGGGTCTCTCAAACTGTTTGTCCAGTGCTGACTTTGAATGGCCATCCTCCTGATCTCTGCCTCCTGAGTAGTTAGGATTACAGACCCAGCTTGTTTTTAAGGTGGGATTGACCAGACTGGCCTTGAACTGCAACCCTCCCAACTCTACCTCTTGAGAAGCTGGGGTTATAAGCATGTGGATTTCACTCTGTAGCCACGTGCCACCCCATGCAGTCATCTCAGATCTTTACTCCCTCCCATTAAAGAAATGGTCTTCCTCAAAACTACTCGCTCAGCTCTGCCACAGTAGGGTAAAAGCAGTCAGCTAATACATAATTGACTGAGTAAGTAAGGCTGGATTCCAGTGAAACTTTACAGTTGGACACTGAAATTTGAATTTCACATAATTTTCTTATGTCCCAAATATTACCCTTCTTTGATATTTCTCAACAACTTATAAATATCAACCCATTCTTAGCTCTCAGGTGATGCAAAAACAGGTGGCAGGCCATTTTTGGTTCATGGGCTAGTCTGCTGTAAGATTTGCGGAGCTAAACCACTGTTTTAGAACAAAGCACACCAGGTCCAGCCAGGACCATGCTTTATGGTCATTTTTGTCTTCCCCACTTGATGGAAGAGGTGTTTTGAAAGGCACAGGGCTCACAAACTCAGGACTCACGCCCCACAGGTGCTTCAGCCAACGTCACGAGCTTTCGCAAGGTTTCATATTCCTGATGTTTAAGTTATTTTTCCTACATGAAATCATAGGATATCTTGGACTTGCTTCAGAGTAATCCATTTGGAGAGTTGGGCATGATGTCGCATGCTTGTCATCCCAGCACTGGGGAGACTGAGGCAGGAGGATTGCAAATTCCAGGCCAGCCTGGGTTACGTAGTGACACCCTGTCTTAAAAAATAAAATTACCACCACCATCATTACCCACTTGGTGGAAGTGAAGGATGAGAATATTTAGATAAATTGAGATTGGCCTGGGACTGGGGAGTGTGGCTCAAGTGGGAGAGTGACTGTCTAGCAAGCATGAGGTCTCGAGTTCAAACCCCAGTACTGCCAACAATTTTTTTTCCCAAAAATGATGGAGTGTAGGTTGATGCTGCTGAATTTGGTGATGGGTATGTGGGATTCATGAAGCAGTTCATTATAACCACTGTCTTCTTGCTGGGCACCAGTGGCTCACACCTGTTATCCTAAGTACTTAGGGACAGGAATTAGGAGGATTGCTGTTTGAAGCCAGCCTGGGCAAATAGTTTACATGACCCTATCTTGCAAAACTCCACTTGGCAGAGTGGCTCAAGTGGTAGCAAGCATGAGGTCCCGAGTTCAAACCCCAGTACTGCCAAAAAATAATAATTATAATTAGAGTCTTCTCTGTGTATGTTGGGTCTTTGTATAATTAAAGAGTTCAAGCACTTCTTTCCTGTGAAGTTGAGCTGGGAGGTACGTCCTCCGAGCCGTGGTGATGTCTCTGTCATCTCTCTAGTGTTCTAACCACTTCTCCCATCAGGGCCCCTACGACCGCCACTGGCCTGAAGACAAGTACACAGATCCACGAGGAATCTATGACAAGGTGGCAGGAGACTTGGACATGGTGGAATCTGATCCTCTACCCTTTGAGCTGAGGGGCGATCTGGTGTGAGAGCTTTCTCAACGTCCCTGTCCTATGCCCCCAGGACAATATGTTCCCATGGTCCTTTTCGCTCCTGCCTGGCTGAGCTTGTGAAAAGAGCCCATAAGACATGAGGGATGGGCTTCTTAGAAGAGGACATGGGAGATGTAAGTGACAGAATGTGGCACAAGCTGGCTCTTTCCACGGTGGGCTTCAGAAACAGAACTTCCCCAAAGGAGCAGAACAATTACATCAAATAATGAAAAGCTATTTTAAGGGTCTTTATGCTTTTTGAAGTAAAATTTTAAGAAGTGGGAAAAACATACTAAAAGTTCAGTTCAGGGCTGGAGACATAGCTTGGTGGTAGAATGCACGCTTAGTATGTGTGGGGTCCTGGGTTCCATGCCCAGAACTGCAAAACAAAAACAGAAACAAAACCCTCAGTTTAGTTTCAGTTCAATTACATCTGAAGTAGTGAATAATAATAAGTGGAATTTATACACCATTGTTGTGTCATATCTCCTCGGGTTTTATTTTCCACAGTATCTAAAACATTTTGTATAAACTATGTCACATAAAAACATAAAAATACTATCAAAAGAACATAGATGCAAATGAATACAAACTATAATTTCATTTATAGATGAAGTTAATTTATTATACTATGGTTATAGAAACAAATGCCTTGTTCTTACAAAATGCTCACTATTATATATTTAGGTTTTTGTGGCTTCAACTTATTCTCAAACATCTGTGTAAATTTACATAGAGATAGAAAAGAAAAACAAATGTGGCAAAATGTTGACATGGGAGATTGTGAGTAAAGTGTGTATTGGAATTCCTTGGGCTGTTCTTAGAACTTTTCTGTTGGCTTGAAATGATGTCAATTTGAAAGTTAAAATTAAAAAATTATTATAAGCTGGACCCAGGGGCCCATGCCTGCAAATCTTAGCTACTTGGGAGGCTGAGAATGGGAGGATCATCGTTTGAGATCAGACTGGGCAAAAAAATTCATAAGATTCCCCCATCTCAACCAGTTAAAAAGTTGGGTGTGGTGGTGGGTGCCTGAAATCCCTGCTATACAGAAACTGTAAATAGGAGGATCATAGCTGGGCATAAACACGAGACCCTATTTGAAAAATAAGTAATGCAAGAAGGGCTGGAGTGTGCTCAAGTGGTAGAGTACCTGCCTGGCAGTGCAAGGCCCTGAGTTCAAATATGTATATGATGCGTGACAATGCTACAGAAGCAAAGAATACAGCGCATCCGGCCTCTTGGGCTAAGGAACGCTTCGGTTCTTTCCAGCTTTCGTTGGCCATGCCATCTTCTGTCTGTCCCCCAGCAGATATCCTCCATTTCCCCCTGTGAACTTGGCTTTGTTCATTGCCCATAGGTAATGCTTCTCCCAGGACTGGCCACCCCAGTCTCCCAGCACCACATAGCTGCCTGTCTCTCTGAAAGTGGTGCCCTTTTCCTGAACTTTTTTTCATGCAGGCCAATTTTCTGATTGGCCCAAGTTGGGTTAAGGAAAAGAAATAGTGGGGTAAATTGGTGCAACCACTTCAAAACCCATTTGACATGGTCTTCTAAAGTTGAGCATTCATAGATTCTGTGACCTGACAACTCCTATTCCTATGCATCTTTCCAAGAGAAACTTCTGCACATGTTCATAGCATCTTGTTTACAATAGCAAAAACTTGAAGCAACCCAAATGCTCATTAGAGGGACAGTGGATATGTATATAGTACAATAGCCACACCATGGCACTGTGGAATATTATACAGCAATCAAAATGAATAAACCAACTGAATCTTAGCAATATGCCATTGAGAAAACAAGTCCTCCAAAGTTACATACAACATAACATTTCTCTTATCAAGTTAAAAACAACTAAAAACACTCCTAAGTATAGATCTCAAGGAAAACAAGTCACAGATGAGCACAGGGTTTAGGATGGTGTTCACCTCTAAAACATTGTGATGGGGAGGAGGATGTAGTTGATTTATGTCATTGTCAATTTTGCTTTTGGGTGGTGGTTTTGCAGGCACTTATCACCAAGCACCAACTTTAAAAAGCTGGAAGACTCATACTTTTTTTTTCAGTGCTGGCAATGGAACCCAGAGTCTTGGGCATGCCAGGGCAAGCACTTTACCACTAGGTTACACCCCCATCCAGGACTCATACTTTCTCATTTACAAAGCTACAGAATTAAGACAGTTCCCTGCTGGTACAAGGACAGTCATCTAAACGCATGGGACAAAATAGAGAGCTCAGAAATAGCCTTCCCATATATGGTCAAATGCCAAGACCACTTGGTGAGGAAAGGACAGCTTTTCAACAAATGGTGCTGGGAAAACTGGGTATCCACATGCAGAAGAATGAAGCAGGATCCTTACCTATACCATATACTAAAATTAATTCAAAGGCTGTTGGAGTGGCTCAAGTGGTAGAGAGCCTGCCTAGCAAGCATGAGAACCTGAGTTCAAACCCCTGTACCCCCCCCAAAAAAGAAAAAAAATTAAAATGAGCCAGGGATTGTAGTAAGCACCTATAGTCCCAGCTCCTCAGGAGGCTGAGATAGAAGGATCACGTGAAGTCAGGAGATGGAGGCCATCCTGGGCAATACAGTGAGACCCCCATCTCAAAAAAAGAGAAATTGAAAACTTTCGTGGCACTATTAGAGAAAAGGTAACCTACAGAATTAGAGAAAGTATTCACAAATCAGCCAGGCACCGGTGACTCACGCCTGTAATCCTAGCTACTCCAGAGACAGAGATCAGGAGGATCACAATTTGAGGCCAGCCCAGGCAAATAGTTCTTGAAACTCTATCTTAAAAATGCCCAACAAAAAAAAAAGGGCTGGCAGAGTGGCTCAAGTGGTAGAGTGCCTGCTTAGCAAGCATGAGGCCCTGAGTTAAAAAAAACTGGTTAGGATGGTAAGTTTTATGTCATGTGTACTTACCACGATAAAAAAAAATGGAAAAAAAGTAAACTGAAACTCTGCATGGACTACAGTGTCTGAGGAACCAAGGAGAATGGTTAATCCGCTCTGTTCCTGAGGTCCAAAATTTAAAACAAATGCTTAGGCACAACCCTGTGCTTTTGAGAGTGTACACTAACAACGCTTTGCAAAATATATCTGCACACTATGTGAGCCAACAGAGATGCTTACGTGAGTGACCTAGGACGTTCATTGGTGCTGGGCACCAGTGGCTCACGCCTGTAATCTCAGCAATTTGGGAGGCTCAGATTGGGAAGACTGCAAAGCCAGGGCCTGGGCAAATAGTTCCATCTCCAAAATAGCTAGAGCAAAAATGGACTGGAGGTGTGGCTCAAGCAGTAGAACGCCTGTTTTTGTAAAAACAAAGCCCTGAGTTCAAACCCCAGTCCTACCAAAAAACAAAAAAAGGGAAGAAAAAGGAAACAACCTTCACTCTGTGTCATCACATTTCAGAAAATGTCAATATATTTCAAACCATACCAACAATTTTCATGTGTGCATATATGTGTTATACCAGTAATTTCTGACAACTATTGACCACTACCTGTGAGGACATTTTCAAGTTGGTCTGGAAGTCTTAGCTTTCCCTAAGGTGATGTTGAAGTCTGTGGCAGCGCCCAGACACGTGTGTGCGAATTTCCAAACTCCCGCCAGGGGGCGCCGCAGCCCCGCTTGGGAGGACCCAGCCCGTCTGCTTGGGGTTCGGGTCTCGGAAGTGCTGCAGTAGGCCGGTGAGATGGGCCAGGCCGAATCAGGAAGATCGCTGTATGGGGCTTGTGCTCTGTCTGCAGATGAGAAACCATTTTGCAACACCAGCAATTGACAGTTGTTTCTATATGCCAGCCCATACTGTCTTTTGTTTTTTTTTTTTGTATGTGTGGTACTGGGGTTTGAACTCAGGGCATCATGCCTGCTAGGCAGGCACTCTACCAGTTGAGCCACTCGCCTGCCCTTTTTTATGCTGGGTACTTTTGAGATAGAGTCTCCAGACCTATTTTTCCAGGCTGGCTTTGAACTGCGATCCTCCGGAGTAGCTAGGGTGTGAGCCAGCAGCGCCTGGCTCCCTAAATCCTTTATGTGCATTTTATATGCATTATTTCCTGACGCCATCAGCACTACTCTTGAGCCCAGTCCTTCTGTCCTTCTGTCATTTCCCCCTTCCGTGGCGATGTGGTCTTGCCTTGCACAGCAATGCTCCAGTGCTCCCGCCCCCGCCTTGGAAGAGGGCGCTACACGCACTGCCAACGTGCATGGCCCACGTGATTGGCACGAGGAACGTCACGTGATCCCATTGCACCAATGAGCGGGCACCGCGCTGTTCATCCATTGAGGACGCTGCTGGGTGCTGCTCCCCACGTGTGTAAGACCGCCTGGAAACGCTGTTCCAGAACCTTCCATGGCTACCACGCAGCAGCCCAGGTGTTCTCGGGGCTCTGCCAGGCTCTGAGGAGCCCCCATCCAGTCTCTCCCTTGTCCCGCTTCACCTTCGCTGTCCCCCAAGTCTAGATGCCTGCTTTCATCAGCAGAAGGCTTCTCAGCCCCAGGAGCCATCTCTGTGTCGCTCTCTCTTTGCCTTCTTCCGCTGAGATCTCCACTTGGGATGTCCTCCCTCTTCTCCCAGTGGCATTGCCGTCTCTAGTCCTTGGTGTCTCCTGGAGAGAGAAACAACAGGGATTGTCTTGAATGATCTGCAGTTTTAACATGATCTGTTCAGACGTGGATTTCTTTCATTGCTTTTTTTGGTGGGACTGGGGTTTGAACTCAGGGCTTCACACTTGCAGAGAAGGTGCTCTACGGCTTGGACCACATCTCCAGTCCATTTTGCTCTGGTTATCTTGGAGATGAGGTCTCTCCAACTATTATCCTGGGGCTGACCTCCATCCAAGATCCTCCAGATCTCAGCCTCCCAAGTAGTTATGATTATAGGTGAGAGCCACTGGCGCCCAGCACAGATTTCTTTTTATGTAGCTAGTTTAAGCTATCATTGCTTCTTGGGTTAGGATTTGCGTTTTTCATTGTTTCTGGAATATTCTCAGCCATTTCTTCAGTATTACCTTCATACATTCTAATTTCTACCTTTGAAGCTTTTATTAGCTAGTCTCTTTGTCTTTGTGCTGTATAATTTGATATATTTGGAGGTGAGGTGTCTTCCATTTCTGTTGTTCTGTCTCTTACTAAGCTATGTGTAAACCACTGAGTTTTTATTTTTGTGTGGGGGTTTACATTGGTATTTTTATCTCTAGAAGTTTCTCATTGCACAGTCACTTTCATTTCTGACGGTCTTGTTGCTTGTTTATATTTGTGATTGTGTGTTATATTTCTTTAAGCGTTTCAGAAAGTCTACTTTACTGTCAAATCTAAGCAATTCCAATATCTCAAGTTTGGCAGGTCTGAATCTTTGCTTGTGATTGTAGCTAATTATGTTTTTCACGGGTGGCCAGAAGATTTGCTCTTTTATAATGGGACCTGACACCACCTATTGAGAAATGGTTTCTGTGTTCCTT